TCTCTTTCTTGGGTGAGGATTAAAAAAAGACAAAGAAGTAGGGGCCAGTATTCCTTACACATGTAGAAGCAAAGATTCTAAACAAAATACCAATTTCAGCAACTCAAATATAAGCAGTCTACTAACAGAATAATTTACTATAACCAAGAAAGAGTTATTGTAGAAGTGCAAAAATGTTACATTAGGAAATTCATTTATCCATTCAGTGTTTGTTTCACCAAGGCATAATAATACCTCATATATGCCAGGCTTTCTCTAGGGATGGGGGTATGTGAGGAATAAACTCTTGTCACCTGGCTATGGGGAGTATTCTATATACATTAGGTGTTCTCATTCCTTGTCTTTACTCGTCTTCTGTGGACATGGACTATTACAGGCTAGTGAGGGTGACCCAAAGACAGATGCTGTGGGAGAAATGAAAGAAGTTCAAAAGAGCTTGAATGCGGGTGTGTGTGTGTGTGTGTATGTGTGCATGTGTGTGAGGTGGAGAGGTCAGGCTGGAGAGGTAAGAAAAGGCTAAATCATGTAGGAACTGTGTCTAGGAACTTAGATTTTTATCCTGTGAGCAATAGCAGAACTCCCAGAAGGAGAATGTCATGATCAGGTTTGCACTGTGGAGTGAGCCCTGGCTAGAGTAAGAAAGATGGCTCGGAGGGAAGGCAAAGCCGGCAGCAAGAACATGAGTCAGGAGACTGCTTCAATGGGTCAGGTGATTATCACAGGTGATTATCCAGGTCATCAGGTGGTGTAATGTGAATGGTGTCTCCAGAGCTGTGCTAACCAATAGCCTGGATGGAAACTGGAACCAAGGAGCCCTGCACTGAGGACAGAGAAAAATGGGTGGAAAATTCCAACACATCCAGGGAAAACTAGCATTAAGAAAGCCCAAAACATCAACAAGTGAGAGAAGGGTCTAATGCCGATGAAATGTAAATAATTGTACTCTTTTAAAATGACTTAAATATATGTAAGACCCTCAAAACATAAAGAATAGCATCTATAAAAGGGATACTAAATTATGGTACAATGAATGAATAAAAATGAATCAAGAATGGATATATATGGGTATAAAAAGGAAATAATTGGAATCATTGGAAATAAAAAAAATAGTTGGTGAAGTAAAAAAAAATACACAGGGTAAAAATCTGGTCTAACATAATCTGTTCAGAGCCAAAGAGTGAATCTGTGAATTGGAAGATAGTAGTCTCCCGGAATTCCTCAGGAGCACCACACAGACATAGTGATAAAGTATATGAAAAAGACTGAGAGGCCCCAGCATGTGTCTTAAAGGAGGTCCAGAAGGAAAGAATGGAGAAGCCAGTGGAGAAGAAATATCCAAGGAGAAAATGGCTGAGAATGTTTCAGAATTGAAAAGATAAAGCACACGCTACGGTGCTGAGCAGAATTTTAAAACAAAACAATGCTTCTAGATATATCGAAGTGAAGCATTAGAACATCAAAGATAAAAAAGGAAATTTTAAAGCTATCTAAGGATAAGGACATTGTCTATGAAGTAATGACAACTAGACTTACTATCAGCCATGGGACAATGGGACAATATCTTCAAAATGTTGAAGGAAGGAAGGAAGGAAGGGAGGAAGGAAGGAAGGAAGGGAGGAAGGAAGGAAGGAAAGGAGGAAAGAAAGAGAAAGAAAGAAAGAAAGAAAGAAAGAGAAAGAATCCCTTTAACCTAAAATTTTATACCCAGAAAAACTATTTGCAAAAACAAAATAAACTGTTTTCAGACGCATACAAAAAAAATGAAGGGAGTATATCACTCATAGGCCCTCCCTGAAAGAATTACTAAAGGATGTGCATTAGCCAGAAAAAAAGAGAAACCAAAGAAAAGATGCCATTAAAAAGTGGGAAGAAATAGGTAAACTATGTTGATAAATTTAATTACTGACTAGAAAAAAGAAGTGAATTTTTTGTGTGTGTTTAAAGATGCTTGAACTAAATTTATAAGCATAAGTAGGAAGTACAATGGGAAGGGAAGGGTTCAGTAGTTATTGTTCACCCTTCTCAAGACAGAGAAATCAAGTTTAGAGTTTGTTGGAAAAGTATATAATTATGTATATTGGAAGTTATAGAAATGCAATCTATAGCAGAGGGATAAAAGGAAGATTTTTAAAAAAACTCTACTAAACTGAAGGCAGGAAATTGGAGGAAAAAGGAAAAGAAAACATAAGGTAATAGGAAACACCAAATAACAAATAATTCCAAATACCTTAGTAATCACAATAAGTATAAATTGATTAAAGTAGCCTATGAAATTATACGCCTATCAGATAGGACTAAAAACAAAGCTATATTCTGCTCAGTAAAAGACATACCTACAGAAAAATAATGTGAAACTATTTAAGATGAAATGAAAAAAGACATGCTGGGAAAATACCAACCAAGAAAGCTGGTGTAACAATATTATTATCAGACAAAATAGAATTTCAGGAAAGAAGCATTAGGAGGGGTAAAAGGAGCACTCCTTTATAACTTGGGAACACTCCTTCCCCTCTTGATGTTTCCTGCTGCATGGAGGGAACACTTCTGTGTAACACCCTTGGCTGTCTCTGCACTCTCTAGTAGGTGAGTTTGGGAGCAAGATCTTGGCATGTGTAGCTGTGTTGCCATCAGGGCTTCCTTCTGCTCCCTAGTACTACAAGTCCCACCTGAGCAGACCCCACAACAGGAGGCTTGCCCCTGCCCAGCACTGCCTGTGCCTGGGTGGGTAATTCTGGAATTGAGTTAGAAGACTCATTTCATCTTCATGTTAACTTGTGTGCTTTCTCTTGGTCTTTAGCAATAACAAAGGAGTTATTTTGACTTCCAACTGCCTGACTCTTAATTTTTTTGTGTTTCTGAATTTGTTCACAACCTTGGCAAGGAAAGATTTAGGGCCTCTCTGAGTCCTTAGCCTACATGACGATAAAGAGAGCAGTCCATCTAGGAGATCGAACAGTCCTGAACTTGCAAGCTTGTATTTAGTAACAGAGTCTTGAGTTTAAAATGGCAGAAACTCTTAGGGATGTAAGAAGTAGACGAATCCTTGGTTATTATGGGATTTCAATAACATCTCTCATATACCGATGGACCAAGCAGACAAAAAAATTGTGAGGATATAGAAGATTTGAACAATACAATTAGCAAATTTGATCTCGTAACATACATTCCTGAACTTGGCAAAAGAAAAGCGTACCTTCTTTTCAAGCCTATGTAGAACATGAAAATAAAAGTCTATGTATTAAGTTAGTAAACTTCACATAATTAATATCATACAGATTATATTCCTTGAATAAAAGAAAATTAAATTAAGTCAACAAATTAAAATACTGAAGAAAAAACATCATACATTTGTAGAGTAAAAAACCCTTTAAAATAACTCGTGGATGGGGAAATCTCAAAAGAACTGACAAAATATTTGGAACTGAATGATAATGAAAATACTACTTATCAATGTATAGGATGCAAAAAAATGGTAGAGAAAGATGTGTAGTTTTTTTAAAAAAATTGCATTATTTATGCTATTCCAGTTGTCCCCACTTTTTCTCCTTTGGCCCACCTCCACCGAGCCCCCCAGTTCCTCAGGCCTTCCCCACACCGTTGTCTGTGTCCATGGGTCACACATATATGTTCTTTGGCTAATCTTTCATTATTTTTCAGAAAGATGTGTAGTTTTAAATGCAGTCATGAAAAAGAAGAAAGATTAAATATGTAAGCACATGGGTCAAGAAAAAGAATAGAAAAAGCCCTAAGTAAATAGGAGAAAGGAAATAAAAAGGACAAGAACAAGCTAGTGAAGTAGAAAGCAAAATTAATAAATAGAGACAATCAACAAAACCAAATGCTATCTATTTGAAAAGATGAAGAGATAAACCCCTAGTGAGGGCTGATTAAGGAAAACAGAGAAAAAATACAGACAGTATTACAGCAATGAAGGAAGGGATAGAACTACAGACAGAAATGGAGTCCTAAGTGAATTCTAAAACAACTTTATGTCAATACATTTTATGGATAATTTTGTAGAAAAATATAAATGACCAAAATTGACTCAATAAGGAGTAGGCAACCTAAATATTCACCGGTAAATAACTGAATTGGTAGCCAAGGTACCCTCCCACAAAAACAAAAAAAGCAGGCCCAGAGGTTTCACAGGTGAGGTTTAACAAACCTTTAAGGAACAGAAAGTCCCTGTGGTATAAAGACTCTTTCAAAGAATGAGGAACTCCCAGCAATTTTATGAGGCTGGAATGGCACTCTGATACCAAAACCTGACAAGGGAAGTACAAGAAAAAAGAAAAGGCCAGTGTTGCTGCTGAACATAGATGTGAAACTCTTATTTAATCAATGGAATTCAGCAGGAGATAAAAAGATCATACATAAGAAGTGGAGTTTGACCCATGGACTGGAAAGATGGCTCAATAGAGTATAATCCACCAGGTTTACAGATGGAAAACCCATGATTGTCTTAGCAAATGCAAAAAAGTATTCAGTAAAATCCGGTGCTTTCATAATGTGCTAAATGAATCAGGGGAACAGGATAAATTTAGAGTCTTATGGTAAATCCCTTTATAAAGCAACTTTTATCCCATTTATATTTTGAGTAAATCCAGATTTTCGTATATTAGAGTTTCTTTTCATAAAGGCTTAGTTGCATGTGAGAACCCAAATATATCCAGAAGCTGTGCCTGGTTCTTTGGGAGAACACAAAACCCCACAAAGAAACCAAAAAATAATGGTGAACTTGAAGGTCTTTGCTTTTCCCATAGTTTTGTTTTAGGTAACTTCACCAGGCAGGTTCTTTAAGTATCCACTTCCCACGAGGTACCTAGGTAGGATTTCCTTTTCCCACCATTTGAGTGTGGCACCCAATGCATGGGTTGAGTAAAATGAGGCACATCTGACCTCAGGGAGACACAAAGCAAGTGTCCCTGCCCTGTGGTCTGGCATGATCTCAGCCACCTTCCTCATTGACTCGTTTCTTGTGAACACTTCTCTTTTTGCAGGTCCAAGGTGAAGACAGTGCATGAACGGATCCCCTTGGCAGGATTGAGCAAGCTGCCCAGCATCCCTCAGATTGCAAAGGTAAAAGCCGACCTGAGAGAAGGCGACTTCTTCCCTTAGCCCAGGGCTGGCCTCTGGGGTGGGTGGGAATGCAGGCTTCTCCTGGGTGGACTTTGGCCCGTAACTGCATGCATGGGGGTGGGGGAGGGCTATTGGCAGACACCTGTCTTCCTGACACCCTCCCTATCTCATCCTTGAGGCTGAGGCTGCTCAGTTTAATCCATGGTCTCTGCCCCCAAGTTCATGGCTAGCTCAGAAGACAAGAGACTTAGAAAGACAGAGCTTGATATGGAGAGTAGGACTTTAGAGGAGGACCGGGAGGGAGCGGCCAGGGAGCCTTCACAGCAGCGGAGAGTTGGGCTTAGGGATGGCCATGCTGTTGATCCAGATGGAGGACGCCATCTCCTCACCCTGGCCCCCCCACCCTGCTCCCCCCTCTCCGTCTCCCCCAGGTCAGGAGCCATCAGCTGGTAGAGGGGTGTGTGTCACTGCTCTGGGGAAACTTGGGAGCTGAGTCAGCCAAGTGGGATGAGAAGGATGGTCAGCTGAGTTGGGTTGGGCCCATGCTTTGGGGGCGGGAATGCTGGGCAGAATTGTGCACAATCCCTTTGGTGACCTCCCTTCATCAGGAAAGTAGGTTGACTTTCCTGGCCCCTCAGAGAGCAGCAGCGCCAGGCCTCCCGACCCCACAGGTCCTGGCCCCCCATGTTCTTTCTTTGGTGGGCAGAGGAGCCCAGGTGCCGTCTGGGACACGGTCCCTGAGCTGCGTGTTTCTCTCTCCCTGCCTAGGCCTTCTGTGATGATGCAGTGGGACTGAAATTCAGCCCTGTCCTGTACCCCAAGGTGAGACCTTTGTCCCGCCCCTTGCCCTGGGCTCTGCTGCTTGGCGTGCATTTGTTCACTGAGGGCTCTATGGGAGGTTCTTTGGATCTTGGTGGGGTTTTATGGGGCCTCTGTGATACCCCTCATGTCTCCTCTCTTCCTGCCCACTCCTTCACAAGCTGGTCCACGGGGAAGCCATCCTTGGCCACACCTGGGTCTCCGGTCTGCCCAAGTCGGTCCCCAGCTGTGTGGGGGTGACAGAGGTATAGCAGCTTCTCCATCTCACTCTGGTCCTACAGCCCTGAGGCCAGTGCTGGGGTGGGGAGTGTTCTACCTCTAGATGGGGGTTGGGGGCTGGTGCAGACCTGGTCAGCCATCATGGAGGAGGGAGGGGGGCAGAAGGCAGAGCTCCACTAAAAAATAAAAGGTCGACTGTGGCTCCTCATTGCCAATGCTGCATAGCTCTGAGCCCCTGCTCGGTCCTTGTTAATGAACTGGCTGCCTCTCTGTTATCAGTTTCCTCCGGACTGTCCTAATCTTAACCCCAGTTCTGATGTGGGTGTGGGAGTAGGGAGGGGAGCAATAATAACAAAACAAAACAACAGCCCACTCAAGAACAATTACAGCATGACAGGACTTAAACCACCCACAGACAGTGAGTTGCTTTAGATCTAGGAAGAGCCCCATGCACCCTCTGCTTCCTCATGAGCCAGCGGGGCCTGGAGAGAGGAGATGGGTGTGGAGCTGTGCTTCTGCGCCTGCCCGTGGGCCAGCGCTGTGGTGGCTGAGGCTTGCGGGGGGCTGGCTCAGTCCATTCCCTGGTTCCTCTCTGACAATCAGGAACCACGAGGTGAAATGTTTGGTGGGGAAGAGAGGCCTTATCTTGGCTGGACATCCAGAATGCCCTGGAAGAAACACCTTAAATGTTCACAATTTGGGCAGGACACCATGTATCCCTACACAGTGGCCCAGCTAGTGTAGGGTCATCTCCTGCACAGCGCATGCACCAGACCCCTTCTCCCAGGCACCTCTTTGCAGCCCTCTGAGCATCTGCAGGCACTTACCAGTAATAAGCTGCACTCTACTGAACATTTTCTCTCGTTCCAACTGCCCTTCTCTTTATAATTAAAGCTGAATTAGTGAGGTTTAACCACACATTAAAACCTCATCATAAAGGCCTCACTTAACTACAAGTTTGGCAAATTTTGTTGTCAAATCATATCCACCGAGAGAACCTAATGACGCTTATTTGCATAGTTCTCTCCATCACTTGGAAAGCCTCCTGCTCTGGTAATGATGGAGGAGCAGCTGTATTTTCATGTTTGCTGCGTTTGAAGGACTCCTCAGTCCGGCTGGATGTTCATCTGGCTGGGATGTTGTATGTGTGTGTTTTCAGAATTCACAGAGTTTAGAAGGCTTCTTGGCAGGTCTCTGTGGCTGGGCGCCTGTTCCCCGGCAGGGCAGCTGCTCTGCTCCTTCGACTCATCCCGGGAGGGAGTGGGTGGCTCGCTCCGGGTCGGCCAGCAGTGCCCTTCTAGGGGAGCTGATGAGTGTCCATTTCCTCAGGCAGATGAATGCCTCCCAGACCTAACATGGGCCACGTCATCCGGCCAACAAACAAGCTGTGCCTGGTTTGTTTTTTCCTGTAGCGTGACAGGAGGTTGGGTCCCTCCTTTTTATCGAGAAGGGTATCACGGTAGCATCCACATCTTCTCTTTCCCACTGAGCTGGTTCTGCTGTAATCTTTCTGGGGTGCTACATAGATGGTGATGATGGTGATGGTGATGGTGATGGTTGTAGCTGCTCTGTGCTCTGCACCTTACGTGCCCGGTCTCACGGAATCTTCACAACTGCACAGTTCCATTTCACAAACGAGGAAACAGGCCCAGAGAAGTTAAGTGGCTCACTTGAAGCTATACAGGTGAAAACAGCATATTCAAAATTAGAGTTTAGTGTTCCTGGCCTTGAGATACTAATTCTTCAAAGTGCGATAGAACATTAGGCAGAAGCAGTGGTTAGCTCCCCCCACATATTGTATTAGGGTACGCCCCTCCTAACAACGGTTTCCTTTTAGGTCTCTCAGTTATAGAGAAGCCAGATAAAATTTGGCAGGAGCAGTGCCTTGTCAACATCGTATTGCTGATTATAGGTGGAATTAGAGCCAGTATCTCCCTTGCTTACCAGTTTTGGAAGCCTGGTTTCACAGGTGAAACACTGGGGTGAAGTCAGTTCCCTGAGTCCTGCTGGACTCCCCGTGTGCCCGGGCCTTGGCCAGCACGTCTGGATGGGAAGGGAGCGAGCGAGGCAGACGTCCGGCCGCTACGGGACGGCACTCCTGTGTCGAGGCCCAGCTGAGACTGTGGGAGCCGCATCCTGACCGTCTGCTTCGGCCTCCGCCCTTTCTCCTCTAATGCACGTGTGGATGTCTCGTGTCAGGCGGGCACGTTCTCCACAGAAATGGGTGCTTCCCCTTCCATTTCCCTCCAACTTGACAATCTGATTTTTTTCTTCCCATTTTTTCCAGGCCTCCCAAATGATTGTGTCCTATGATGAGCATGATGTCAAGAACACATTCAAATTTGGAGTCATTTACCAGAAAGCCAGGCAGGTAAGCACCACAAATCCATCCTGGCCACTATATCCTCTGGTTTCTTCCTGAGTACTCTTATTTTCTTCCCCTAGCACAGTATTAGGTTCTTAAATATGCTGATTTCAAGTATGAATTAGACTGGAGGTGGCCGAATTGTCAGGCCATTCCTCACACCGAGGCCTGCAAAGCCTTTAAATGGTAATGTGGTTTTCCAAATGGTAACTTCTGGTTCTTCCTGGTGGCTACTTCCGAGTGTCGTTATCTCTAGGCCGTGGGTCACAAGACAAATCAGACTGGTTGGAGGGAATGGATTAGCCCAAGCTGCTCTCTCTTTGCCCGAAGTCCTCCCTGCTGGGAATAGCTTTTTCTCCCCACACTTCATAGCATGGCAGCCAGTTGTATGCATTTCTCCCCAAATCTGTGTTCAGTGACATCCCGTTCGAAGCTTGAATTCAGCCATGGTGGAGTATTTGCACCGTGGAAATCGGCAAACACCGGGGCTTCTGTCGTCCAGCGTGGGGAGCTGGGTGTTAAAAACTTTCCAGTGCACCCCTGCTGCCCCTGCTCTGTCTGTTTCAGCTCTTACACGCTTTGCAGTTAGTTGGATGAATAAGGTTTCTCAGTGTGTGAAGTGCTCTGGGAACGAGTGACTTGGACAGGGTTTGGGTGCATAGAGACATTTTAAAGGCTCTAAGAACCCCCAAGGTAAAGAACTCTTTATAACTTTGTTGAATATTTATTAACATCCTGATGAGTAGCCTGCTGAACACACCGATTTTTCCTCAGCTAGGTTTTATGAAAGAAGGTTTCACACTTGTTTCATCTTTGTGTGATCCAGGATCCTAGCATGGTGACTTTGTATAAATGCACTCATAGTTTTCTGTTATGTGAATTAATGAATGAATAAAAGTTTTGGCCCTGCTGATAGTAGGTCGATAGTAACTTTTACTATTATCTGTGGGTTTTGGGTTTGTTTTTGTTTTTTTTTTGCATGTCTGAGTCTTGGCTACCTAACACCTGACTTCGTTGTCTGGAGATATTAGATCACCAGAAACCTGTGTTTGCTTAAAAACACTCTAATTAAGTGAAGAGTTTAAGAGCTGAAAGACTAGCACACATAAATCGTATAATTTAAGGGAGATTATTCAGGGAGCCGCTATGATTATTTTTACATATTGCATTTTTATTTCGTACAGCTCTGCTAATATAATCCACCTAATTAAAGTTCTTTGCTTGTGAAATTTACCAAAGCAGATCTCATAAGGTGATTATTATCCAATGTTCCAGCAAAGTTATAATTACTGAACATTAACCATCCACCTCTGAGGAGTCTGTGTGTTGTTTATGCACCTGATACTGCCGAGGCAAGCTGGGGGCATGGGAGGAGATGTCTTTTTAAAAAAAAACTCAGGAGATTGTTGTTTCACAAACCTAGAGCTGGGGGACATTTGGTAGGAGCATTTGTTGCATGAAAGCCCTACACTGGTTTCAGGATATAAATAAGCCCCATCTAACTCTTCTGTTTGTCCAGCACTGTGCTGAGCACTGATGGGGATACTGGTAATGACTAAGACGCCCTCCCTGAATACATGGTCAAGCTCAAGGCCAGTACAAAAACAAAGATAATGCTAATACCAGGCCAGTGGAAACCTGGAGAGAGCATGAGCTGAAATGTTTTCCCAGCAGATGTACATTGCCTGGAGGTGGTCATTCTCCTACACTCTGGCCTCGTGACCTGGGGCACATAGGATGCTGGGCTGGAGTTGAGCCTTACTAGAATGCTGCAGAGCTTTTTCTGTGAGGGGCTGTGTGGTAAAATATTTTAGACTTCATGGGCTGTGCTGTCTCTGTTGCAGCCACTCGACCCTGCCTTTGTAGTCCAAAAGCAGCCAAAGACAATATGTGAATGAGTTGGCCTGATTGTGTTCCAGTTGAACTTAATGTATGAAAACAGGCCATAGTTCGCAGACCTCTGCTAGGGAGCGGCGTGTCCCAGACTTCACACATTCACAAACTGTACTCAGTCTCTGTGTCGTATTGTTTGTTCCACCGTATGACACTGTAACAGTTTTTATTGCACCTCTGCTATAAAGTATGTGATATTTTCTTTAAAACTTTTTTTCAACTAAATACATTATTTTTAAAGGAAATTTCATATCAATACTGTAATTGGAAACTTGGTATTGTTTGCATGAAACGAAAGTAATTCTGAACAGAAATGCTATAAAAAATAAGAGTTACTGAAATCTTACTAGATTCTGTCACCTATCGAAGGCTTGGAACCTCAGGTCTGCCCTTTTTTGTTTTAATGTAGGCGGCAAGGAGGTGTGAAGGCACCACCTGTGGGAGGCTTTCCCCTGGAAGGGGTTGTGCAGACTGGAGTGTCTTTGTGTCATGGAGCTGCTTGCTGCACCTCTGGATGTTTGCAGAGCCTGAGGCTGTTTGCAGACCCAGCCGCTGTGGGCAGAGCCTGTTGATTAGGCAGGGCCACCCGGTGCTAGAAGCCTGTCACGATTGGAGAGCACACTGCTTGTTTCAGCTTTGCTTTCTATCTAAAAAAGTATTAAACTTTTAATTTTGGGGTATCTGTACCTAAAAATTACATGCAGTTGTAAGAAACAACATAGAGAGAAGGGTGTACCCTTTACCCAGTTTCCCGCACAGGTCCCGTCTTCTAAAACTGCAGGGCGACGTCGCAGCCCAGGAGTCCGTGGATTTCGTTCCATTTCCCAGTTGTATATGTACTCACCCGGGGCGTGTGGGTGTGCGTATTTTGTTGTATATAATTTTATCACATGGTTAGGTCATGCAGTCTAGAAACAAAATTCCATCACCCTTTTAACTTTTAGGATATCTTCTGTTGCCTTTTTATAACCATGGCAATCTTTCTCCCACCTCTGTGCTCCCTTCGCCCTCCTGTCCTTGACCCTTGGCAACTACTGATCTGTTCTCGAATGTCTAAAACTTTGTCATTTCGAAAATATTTTCTAAATTGCATCATGCAATATATAAGATTTTGGGATTGGCTTTTTTCCACTTAGTGAAATTCATCTGAGTGCAGGAGAGTACCAGTAATTCATTCCCTCTGAGGGCTGAGTAGGGTTCCACAGGATGGGTGCACCAGAGTCTGTATAACCTTTCCCCCGCTGTCGGAAGGCTGGGTTGTTTCCAGGTTTCGGCTATTATGAATAAAGCTGCTTTGAACATTTGTAGATAGGTTTTTGTGTGAACATAAGTTTTTATTTCTGTGGGATTAATACCCAGGGGTACAATTGCTGGGTTATATGGTAATCATATGTTCAGTTCTATAAGAAATTACCAAACTATTTTTTAGAGCTGTTCCGTTTTACATTCCTACCAGCAATTTTTGTTTGATCTGTGATCTCCATATCCTTGCCAGCATTTGGTATTTTACTATTTTTATTTTAGCAATTCTGGTAGATGTGTAGTGATATCATTATTTTTATATCTTATTATTTAAATTTGCATTTCTCTAATGGCTAATGATGTTGAACATCTTTTCATGTGCCTATTTGCCATCTGTATATCCTCTTGGGTGGAATGATTGTTCGTGTCTTTTGACTATTTTCCTCCTTTTTCATTAGTATCATAATAGGAACTTTAAAATGAAGATTAATCACAATAGATTCTAATCCTTAAAATAGAAAGCATAAGCAGGAGAGGATGCTATTTACAACCACAGTCTTCTGTATCTTTCAACATAGAAATATTGTAAGAGAGAGAAACTAGATTTAGATGGCTGACTATTGGCTATTTTCTAATTGCATTATTTTTAACTGTTAGGTTAAAAAATTTATAATGCTTTACTGAGGTATCATTCACATACCATTGTGAATTGTATGGTATGTGAGCTACACCTCAATAAAGCATATGAGTCAGTGGCTTGTTGTGTGTTCCCAGACTTCTACAACCATCACCACTAATTCCAGAGCATTTTTATCACCCTCAAAAGAAACTCTGTATTAATTAGCAGTCACTTTCCACCACCACTCTTTTTAGCTCCTGTTAACCACAAATCGACTTTCTGTCTTTATGGATTTTCCTGGTGTGGACATTTCCTAGAGATGGAATGATATTATGTGGCCTTTTGTGTCCGGTGTTCTCCACCTAGCATACTGTTTTCAACATCCATCCATGTTGTAGCGTGTATCAGCTCCTCATTCCTTTTTATGGCTGAAGGATATTCCATTGTATGGATCTCACATTTTATTCATTCGTCAGTTGATGGACATTTCGGTTGTTTCCATCTTGGAGTTTTTATGAAGAATGCTGTTATTAACATTAGGGTGGACTTATGCTTTTATTTCTCTTGGATATATTCTTAGGAGTGGAATTCTGGTCTTATGGTAACCCTGTGTGTAGCCTTTTGAAGAACTGCCAGACTTTTCCAAAGTGAGCACACCATCTTACATTCCTACCAGCAGCCTACATAGATTCTGATTTTTCTACACCGACACTTGTTGTCTGTCTTTTTGATTCTAGCCATTAGTGCATGTAAAGAGGTATCTCATTGCGGTTTTGATTACTATTGAGTTTTAAGAGGTTTTTAAAATATCTTTTAGATAGGAGTCCTTTGTCAGAATTCCAACTATCAATTTTTCATTTATGGACTGCTTTTTGGTACCAGGCCTAAGAACTCTTTGCTTCAGCTTTGTTTTTTATACTGACCAGCAGCTTTCATTTGAAGAGAAAGTCCTCATTAATCAGCTCCCAAAATCCAGGTCTGTCTTAGTCCTTCCTCTGGCCAAGGACAGAGCCTCTGGATGACAATTGTGGTGCGGGGTGGGGAGAAAGACAGAAAGGGACTAGGAGTCTGGACACCCACACTCCTTCCTGTGACACCAAGAAGGCTTCTCTGATTCCTGCCCCTGCTCTGTGTCTCTTCCAGACCCTGGAGGAGGAGCTGTTTGGGAACAATGAGGAGAGCCCAGCTTTCAAGGAGTTCTTGGAACTGCTGGGGGACACCATCACCCTGCAGGACTTCAAAGGGTAGGTTTCAGCCAGGTGATGCCTCTGGCCCCATGGATGGGGCCTGGGAGGAAGGGTGAGGGGAGACAGCTGAGTTTCAGGGAGGGCGTATGACAGTTCAACACACACACACACGCAACAACCACAAGACCGTTTCTCAGCAAATGATCAACACTCTCTCCCAAAGAAACCGAGGTCCGGGGGTAAGCCAGCACGGTGCTGTGCCTCACGGCTAGAACAGGACAGAGCCCTCGACCCCCAACTGCAGTAGCCAGATTAATAGGGTCTCCCAACGTGTGTGCAAACACACAGCTCCATGCCTGTCAGGTAGTAGATGTTCAGTAATCACTTCCTTCATCTGCGTCCTTCTCTCCTCTTCCTCCGTCTTCCTTCCCTTCAAGGTCATCACTGCTGCCTGGAGTCTGTCACACATGGGTTACAACTCCCCCTCCACCACCTGTTAGCTCTATGACTTTGGGCAAGTGACTTAACTTCTGCAAGCCTCAGTTTCCTCATCTCTAAAAAGAGAGATAAAGGTAGCAGTGACCCCACAGGTTGTTGGTGTTAAACTAGGTAATGTTTGTGAAGCACTTAAGTGCATGCTGAGCACAGAGGAAGCACCGGGTGTCGTTATTGTTACTGTTCTTATACCACCTTCCCTAAACTCTGAGATGCCATCTTTGTGAGATGCATCCTGTTTCACAGGTATTAAAGTGTTAAAAAAAGTGTCTTAGAACAGATGAAATTATTAAAATCAGGAAGGGCTCTGGGTGGTGTGGCTCAGTTGCTTGGAGCATCGTCCCCTAGCTGAAGGGCTGTGGGTTTGACTCCTGGTCAGGGTGTGTGCCTTGGTTGCAGGTTTGATCCCCAGTCCAGGCACGTATGGGAGGCAGCCAATCAATGCTTCTCTCTCTCTCTCTTAAAAAAAAAAAAGGCAATGAAAAAATGACCTTGGGTGAGAATTAAAAAAAAACAAAAAGCAAACAAAAAACAACAGGGAGGACTTCAGAGATCATATCATCCTATCCCTTTTTTTTATAGAGAGAGGAAACTGAGGCCTAGGGAGACTGAGTGACATGCCCAAAGTCATGTGCTGACTCAGGGGCAGAAGTAGGTCTAGAACCTGGAGCGCCTGACTCCCAGCCCAGTGTGCTTTCTGCCACACTGGGCTGAGCACATTTTCTGGATCATAGTACAGTGCTTGGGGAGGCTGATGTCCAGGGTCTATTTTATTTCATTTTCTTAAAGTCACCTACATCCTCCTCTTCATGCTGAAAAATATGATCCATGGCTAGCAGCCCTTTTTCCATAGAGAATGAAGGGGCAGCTCCCAGAAGCCCACCGAGTTCCTTAGTTTCTTTCCTGCCTGTGAGGAGACAGCCAGAGAAGGGACCTCCATGGACACCTCTGGGGTTGGGTCTCCACATCAGGCACTGGCTGGGCAGAAGTCAAGCATCTGTCACCCCATTCAGGCTGATTTTGGACACTCCTGGGGGGCTTGCCATCATCCAACAGGATGGCCGGTTGCCCTGACCCTGGGCAGAGGACTTGGACATGGCCTTGCAGAGAGCAAAGGCTTGTGCCCAGCCTTGGGGGCCACTGGCACTGAGGACACCATTTGTCCGGGATTGTGGGTGGATGACCTCCTTTCTCACATGACCCTTGCAATAGAGATTCTGCCTTTGTCTTTTAAATATGGGTTTGTAGTGGAACACCAGGGCTCCTCTGCTCAGAAAAGCAGATCTACCGGCTCTCCCTGTGTCTCAGTCTCGGCCCTCAGTGCTCCACATCCCCTCCTTCGTTCACCTGCCCCCATGTTCTTAGGGCAGGCTGTGCCAGGTGGCCCACTAACCCTCACTCTCTCTCTCTCTGTGGCGCTTGCCCTGTTTTTTCACTGACAGTTTCCGAGGAGGCCTGGATGTGACCCACGGACAGACGGGGGCGGAGTCAGTGTACACGATATTTCGGGACAGGGAGATCATGTTTCACGTCTCCACAAAGCTGCCCTTTACAGAGGGAGACGCCCAGCAGGTAACCTGGGCTGGGAGGGCTTTGGGAGCCTGGGGCGTGCGGGGTGAAAGCCTGCTTCAGGTCCCTGGGCCAATCTACCCAAAGGCCTGCGCTGCCCCTTTGCCCTCCTACCTGTCATAATCAAGAGGCCAGTCTGTTCGCTGTGCTCTCGTCCGATACTGTTCTATCGCTCTATCTCATCTCACCAAGGCTGTGCGTCAGTGTTGCTGACGTACACCAGGACAGCAGGGCTCCTGGGTGTGCGTAGGCTTTGACCACGGGGAAATTGCAGCTTGGTGTGGTAAAAAGACTGTTTCCCAGCTGAGTGGGGCAGAGCTGGGAGCAGAGCCCAGGTGCCCTGGTCAAGTGGGATGTGGTGAAGCACACAGGACAGAGTCTGCAGATGGCAGCTTGATGCCAGCCCTGTACTTGGGAGCATGAGATCCTGGGCAAGCCAGTTAACCTTGTGGCCTCATTGTTCTCATCTGCAAAGTGGGGATAGCGCCATGTATGTCAGTGCGTTGTTGTGGACATCACCCATGGTGTCCATGAGTGAAGGGCTCGGTGTGATGCCTGGCTGTGGCAGGCTGCCTACCTAACAGCTGTGCACTATCCAGGCCACTAGGCTTTTGCCCTCCTTCCTGACCCAGTGATGTAAAACTGGTTGTTTCACGAATCAGCTCTCACCTCGCAGCTTTTCTGGTCTCCCAGCCTCCTCTGTCACCACACCTGCCTGCGGGCAGGAATCCAGCCTCTCTGCCTCAACCGGGGAAACCTGGATGAGACCTCCGTTTCCAGGGCTCTCCTGCTCACTCTCGCATTTGCTGCTTCTGATGGCTGCATGTCCCCAGGAAGGGCCTGGCTTTGTTCTTGTTGAGCCCTGAAGCCAGCAGCTGACCCCTGGCTGTGGTACCATTTGCCCCATCCCACTCTTTCCCCCTTTTCAGTCTCTAGGAAGATGAGAAGGGAAGGTAGGCCTTTCACCAGACGCTGACCCATCCGTTTCTGATCAGGGAACTGGGGAGGGAGCGCAGATGTAATATTGTAAACAGTGTTTGGCTTCTTTGGGAAAAAAGGAAATTGGCAAATGAGACTGTGATTTGGCTCTAAAATAACTACTGAATGTTCTAGAAACAAATGGGAGCAGGATTCCTTTTGTATCCAAAGTGGGTTTTCTCTCAGTGTTTCACCTCCAGTCCCGTCCCCTCACGGCCCCCTGCCCAGCCTGGGGCTGAGGGCTGCTGTCTGCCTGGCTCTCTTTCAGTCTCCCCTGTGTGAATTGGGAAGTACATCGAGATTGACTGTTGGCAAGGACTGAATAAACATTAATTTTCCCTTCCCAAGAAATGAGATAGTGTGTCTGGAATATGTGAGACAATTTGTGTGAGGTGCACAGCACCAGGCTCAGTATATAGCAGGTGCTCATTCAGTGAGAAACTCCAAGTGAAGCATAGGGCCTGCATGGAGTAGGTGCTTAATAAAGGAACAAAAGCATAGATGAGTGCCCAGCCAGGACTTGGTGTGCAGGAGGACCTTGACATTTGAAATAATTCATGTGAATAGCCCAGTGTGGCCCCGGCACACAGTAGGTGCCTTCTGATTGAAATCACCTGTGGCAGCATCCGGTGCAGTTTGGGGTGCTGAATCAGGGTTGGGTTTCTTTCTCTCCCATGACCTCTGCCGAGCCACGTTGCCCGTGTTTCTCTAGGCATGGCTCCTCTCCCCATTGGTATAGAATGATCCGCCCCCTCATCCCTGCTTATTCACATTTCTGCCAGGTGTTGCCCTCCATCTCCTCTTCCAGGAAGCTTTCTCAGATTACCGTCAGGCCTCTGACTTTGCCCTCTTCCCTGCCCTCTGCGCACCCCCAGTGGCAGGCATTTCTGTGCAAGGGGCTTTGTTCCTGTTCTCAGGTACCTTCACCTGTGTTTGTGTTTCTCCTGGATCAATCACAGACTCTAGCAGGAGACGAAACCTGGGCCTCAACTTTTAACCCTTCTCCGTGGGTCCCGAGTCAGAGCTCTGCATGCTGTAGAGCTCAGTGAGATGCTTGCCAGCCTCTCCCTAACCACTTGGGCAACTCCCCCATTTTTTTTCTTTTTGATAGCTTCTAAAGATTAAAATAAAAAGCCCCCTGGAGAGTTAGGTCTCCAAGTCTCAGGGTTTATGTATAAAGATAGAATAATGAGGAATTTCCTGTATAGATCTATTCTGCTTTCAGGATGTTCCCAACTGGCTTACAACAATGAAACACTTTTTGTTTAGCTCCAGAGAAAGAGACACATTGGCAATGACATTGTGGCCATCATCTTCCAAGAAGAAAACACACCGTTTGTCCCAGATATGATTGCCTCCAACTTTTTACATGCCTACATCGTGGTGCAGGCTGAGAGCACGGGCACAGAGACCCCATCCTACAAGGTAAGGGGACAGTCTCGCTGGAGGAAGCAGCAGCCTAGGCACCTCCCCGCGCTTTATGGATTCAGTGATAGCAGGAAGCACGAGTTCTCAATGTTTCCTTGGGCCATTCTCCACGATGTCACTCCTAGGTTTGGTGTGGTTGATTTCCCACGGTTCTCAGGTTTCTGGGCCTTGGGGGCTGGACTCCTGGTGGAGAGCACCCCCTGAGGGCCATCTCATCCATCGGGTCCTTCGAGGCTCAACAGCATCTGTCTCAAGGGTCGAGAAGCCCAGATGCTCCTGTTTGGGATCCGGTAATGCCACTTGCTAGAGTGAGGAAGAACCAGGGGGAAGGAAGGAAAAGTAGAGAGGACTGTCCGGGAGGGGAAAGGAAGGAGGGTGGGTGGTAAGAAAGGAGGGAAAGAAACGTTGGTGTTTATGGTGAGAAGAGGGGAGAGCAGGGGCCTGGTAGACCCTGACCACTGGGTGGCCCCTCCGGTTCAGCCGCTCTGGAAGAAACGGTAGGTGTTAATTTGAAGACTCCCAGGGAGCGGGACTGTGAGTACTCGGGTCTCAGCCCCCTGATCAGTAAGCAGTCTTTCAGACGGGCTCAAAATCCTCATGAATGCCGGGGAGCCCATCATCCTCAGGAGCCCTCACCCTGCCCACCCTGATGGCTGTCACCAACTCTTTCCTTCTCTTCTCCACGAGAAACAGTGCTAGCCTCTTGGGCAATGGTTTCCCTGCATCACAGATAGACCGAAGCAGGGTTCCTAAGGTGGATGTTCTATAGTCTTTGAACCCCCTGCAGGTGCGTGTTGAGTTTATGTGCTTCTTTGCATGTTCTAGGGGGAGAGGCCGTAGCTCAGGTTCTCAGAGGGCCACCTGCTCCCCACAGTGCTAGGGACTACTGTCAGAGGGAGAGGGGGGCCAACCTGTCATTGCTAACGGGAAACTCTGAGACCTGAACACATCTCCTGTATGATGACGGGCCAGCGATGGTTCTGGGGCTTGCGAAGCTCTGGCGTGTCACGGCCATCTGCATGAAGTATCTGTTTGGCTTGAAGATTTTGGGAAAAGAAAATGATGTCATATAATTGTCATATCTGTACAAACTCAGATATATTAAGTGCAAAGTACACATCAACTTTAAGTCCAAGTATGAGGCTTCAAACCGTCCCCCCCACCTCTCTCCTGTTTTTATGAAAGAGAGCTGATTTCTTTCCGTGCCCGTGTTCATATTCATGTTTCTTTGTCACTGAGCAGTTTTAGCTGAAAACTTAAGAGGAGCATTTCCTTGGCATTTTCCTGGAGCATGGTTTGGGCATTTCCTCGAAGGCTATGGGCTCACCTGCTTCGACCAGAGTCGGCATTCATTTCAAACAGCTGCTGGATTTGTTGGTGGAAGCATTTCATTCATTCAGTGCCTCCTGTGTGCCAGGGGTGGGGCCCATGGCAGTGACATACAGAACCAAAACCTGTAGGGAAGAGACAAAAGAGCCACTGAGTGCAGTTCAGCCACTGGGCCACCCAAGCAGCCAGCCGGTTCTTCCAACAGCCAATAGAGGCAGAGAGCTATTGATCAGGACCCCCAAAGTAAAGTGGTGTGATGGGGGGCTCCCTGACCCGACCAGGCAGTCATGTATGAGTGTGTGGTTTGTCTGCTGGGCCTCTGCCAGAAGAATGTGGCCTTTTGTGGACATTTAGCATTAGCTTTTAGTTTCTGATAGAAAATGGAGCTCAGCTAACTGGCTTCTCCGCTTTCCCAAGAGCTTAGCAGTGTGGAACTATACAGGGAAAAATGAGAGGCTGACAAATCAGCACCCCACCTCCTGCTTTGATGCTAGAAGTCTTTACCAAGTCTTCCCAGCCACAGGCTATGGCCCAGGTGAAAGCACTTTCCTGAGAGGTGTCGGGAAGCAGAGAAGTGGACCCCCAGGAAGAGCCAGGCTGCCTCTGGGATATGGGACCTTGGGCCCCACCTGTCAGGAAAACATCAAGGTTGGAGGATAAGCCCTGTGAATGGGGACCAGGGAGGCAGGGGACAGGGAGAGAGCCCCACCTTCCAAGGTCTCCCCAAACCTCTGTTCATCCACACCCCCAGCAGTAACCCTGGTGACCAAGGGGGACCTAGTTAGATCCCTCAGGGGGCCCAGGGTGAAATAAGACCTTAGCTGACCCTTGCAGGCTTAGAGGCTATGGAAAAGGAGGGCCCTGGCAGTTGTGGCTCAGTGGATTGAGTGCCGGCCTGTAAACCAAAGGGTCGCAGGTTTAATTCCCAGTCAAGGCACATGCCTGGGTTGCAGGCCAGATCCCCAGTAGGGGGCGCATGAGAGTCAGTCAACCACACACTGATGTTTCCCTCCCTCTCATTCGCCCTCCCTTCCCTCTGTGTCAAAATGAATAAATCTAAAAAAAAGAAAAGGAGGGTGAGGGAGGTTTCCCAGGGGCTCAGCAATGCCCTGGGAAGCCCCCACTGGGGAGGACAAACAATAGGAAAGGGAAGGGAAGAAAAGGAGGGGATGCAGGAAAGGGCCGTTGACCTAGAGACTTGAGAACCCAGGGGTCTAGTTCTTGGCCTGCCTCTGACTGCTGTGTACCCTTGGGCTAGTTTCTTCCCCCTCTGGGCTCCTGATTCTGTCTGTGTGAGGTGAGGAAGCCGGACTAGACAGCCTCTGAGTTCCTTCCTGCCCTGAGATGCTCGGGAGTGGATAGAGGGGGAGTTGAGAGAGTGTGTGTGTGTGTGAGAGAGCGAGATGGATTAAGACGTGGCTTGGGGGAATGCTGTAGTATTCCAGGTGTCCTTTATTAGGTGCACATTAATAGAGAAAGTAAAAAAAAAAAGGACTGGGTGACAGTGGTTGGCCCTCCCCAGGTGCTGGCTCCATGCCAGGCACTGGGCTAGGCCCCTAAAAACAGTCTTTTTGAATCCTCACAAGCTCCTGGCCAGGCAGGGCCTCTCTTTAGCACTGTTTTAGGCAGAGAAATTCAGGACATTGAGGCAGAGAGCTTACGGCACTTAAAGCCTGAGGCCACAGAAGCAGTGGAGCTGGTGTCCTTGTCCAGATCTGCCTGTGGTTGTCCTCACTGAGCCATCTGAGCCTTCACCAGGACTCCCTCCTCTCTCTGCCTGAGGTCACCCTCAGGCACATCCTGCGCGGTTCCCGGAGTCCTGGTGCCTCCTCCTCATCACTCACATGCCCCCAGCCTCCTTCCACTTTCCAACCTCGCCTCTTCCCTCGTGCTCTGCTGCCTCTCAGCCCTGCTCCGGCCCCTGCTGGGCCGCCTGCACTGCGTTTAGAAAACAGGAAGGTGGGGCTGCTTCCAGGCAGCTTCTGCTTTCAGCTCAGCAACCCAACCGTCCCCAAGAGGAGGGAACAACAAAGGCTCCGCACTTTGCTGGAAAGGGGTCAGTGGAGGGAACACAATGGGGACAGAAGATGAATGGGGCTGTCACAAGAAAGGATCCTGTCCCCTGCTTGTGTGACTGCTGTGGTGGATGTGTCTGTCTGGGACACTCGCTGGATTTAAGAACGTGGACAGACACTTCAGCCAGCACCGCCCACTGTGGTGCAGGCTGAGACGGGGTGGGGGGGGGTGTCACGGTGGGAAGAGGGCGGGGCCAGGCCTGGCCTCTGGCTCTGTCCCAGACAGAAGCTGGTCAGGGCCTTCCCACCACCCTCTCCCCAGATGCTGGCTCTGTGGGTAGAATTCTTGACTGGTGCCATGGGTGCATGGTAGGTGGGGGTGGGGGCCTGTGTTTGGTTGCTGGAACCAGCCTGAAGTCACGGCAGCCAAACCTATCCTGGTTCCTGACTGTGGTCACTGCAGTCTGGGCCCTGCAGACAGCTCGGGCTCAGGCAGAGAGAGCCTTGAGCTGGGTAAGACCACCCCTCTCCTTCTCCCTTCCCCTCCAGACCCTGGTGGGGCCCTTCCTTGGCCTGGCTCCGAGCTGCCTGCTCACCCGCTCTGGCTGACTCTCAGCATCTGTCCTACTTCACAGGCCAGGCAGCTGGCGGTGTGCCAGGGCCAGGCTCATGTCAGCGGCTGCCCGCCTGGGGAAGGGGGAGAGAGGGCAGAGTCCCCAGAGAGGCCTGCGGCCTCACGGGCTGAGAATGGGTGAAACCAGGGCACCTGCATACAGAGGGGAGATGGGGTGTGGGGCCTGTCCCAGGACAGGGAGACCCCACGCAGAACACCTTGGGGCTCTCACTCCATTCATTCATGCCTCCCCAGGCTGGCCAGAGGTGCACACGTTCCTCCCCTCACCCTGAGCCTGGTACACCCCTCTGCAGCATGCAGCACACACCTCGATGTCCTCTACCCCCAATTCCCAGCCTGGGCCCTGCACTGTTAGTTCAAGCCTTACCCAGACTGACTGACCCTGTGTGTGGGGTCAGGGCCTCCAAACACTAGTCCACCCACTGCGCAGAAGCTCTCAGGCCCATTTAACAGCTGCAGATTCCTGGCTCTGCCTCAGAGCTGCGGATTCAGGAGGCTTGGGGTGGAGCCCATGCAGTTGGCATTTGTTTTCCAAACACTCGAAGTGTGACCAGGTTTGGGAGTCAGTGTTGTGGGGAAGAACCCGAGAGCAGCATCTGGACTCTGTTCATCTCTGGCTAATCACCTGGGTGCTTTGGGGACCACTTCAGGGCCCTGGACATCTGTTTCCTGATCAGTGAAACTGGGCTAATAATTCTCACTGTGCCTTCTCCGGAGGCTGAGCATCCCAATCTACTGCAGTCACGAGATAATCCACTTGTACTGTGCTGGAGTTAGGGTCCCAGGCTGCTCCTCAGCCCTGTTTAGTCATCTTGCCAGACTTGCTTCTGGCCTCCAGCAGTGCAGATAGGAGCATGGGGATGGTTCCATGTCATCCAGCCCCACTTTTGGGACGCCCCCCCCCCCCCCCCACCCCGTGCTGGTGATGGCTCACAGGGGCAAGGGGGGAGGGAGGAGAGGAGATCTGTCGTGGGAAGCGGGGCTCCCCTAGGGCCAGGGCATGGCACACGTGGAGTGTATTATAGCCCTTGGGTTGGGTCTCTTCCCTCCTCGCCCACACGGAGACCCTGTTTCAGGTCTCGGTCACTGCGCGGGAAGATGTGCCTGCCTTCGGCCCACCTCTGCCCAGCCCCCCTGTTTTCCAGAAGGTGAGTCGCTCTCCTTCCTGCTCCTTCATGTCCAAGACTCTGGGTCCCCGTCCCCGAAAGGCAGTGGTGGGGGTGGGGCTGAGTCTAGGCTGGGAACACGAGCAGGGCCTTTATCAGCAGAGGTGGAGATCTCCTTACTTGGGGTCTCTCCTCACCTCTCCTGCTGCCAGCCTGGCCTTGCACAGGGTCTCCGGTGAGGATGTTTGAATTTCTGCTGAAAGAAGCATTTTTATGCCATGCTGCAGTCCTGGGAGCCCTGGGCAAAAATTGCCTCCAGTCACGGAACGGTACTGGGTGTGGAGGGTTGATTTCCCGGGACCAGGGAAGCTGGCTTCCATGTTGGTATCTTAGCAGGCGGGCTTGGCCTGGGCTAAAAATGATCAAATGTCAGAAGAGATTTTCAGGAGCTCTCCTGGATGCCCTGTTCTGCCTTCCCATTACGAGGCTGAGAGAGTTCTGGGCTTCTGGTCTGTTCCAGGGCCCGGAGTTCAGGGAGTTTCTGCTCACGAAGCTCACCAACGCAGAGAACGCTTGCTGCAAGTCGGACAAGTTTGCAAAGCTGGAGGTGAGCGCGGTCTCTGCTGGTCTTCTCTCTGTCCTCCTGCTGGCCAGCGGCTGCCAGGGTCTCTGTTCCTGGGGCTGTTCAAGGTGGGGAGCATTGTCTGGGTTAGGGTTAGGGTTAGGGTTAGGGTTAGGGTTAGTCTTCAGCCCTGTGCTGATATAGTAACTCTTAATTCTTGTGGAAACTAAGTCCAAACTTCAGGTCTAGTCAACTATTCACCAATTGTTAATTGAGCACCTACTGTGTGCCAGGCTTCGTTCTGTTTCCTGGGTGTAAATGAGACTCAGCTTCTGTCCTTAGAGAGCTCACAGGCTGGTGGGAGGAGCCATTACCTGACAGGTATGGTAAGTTTGCCAGCACTGGGCTGCGATGGAGGCCAGCAGGTGCTGTGACTGCCTTGGCCTATGGGGGACTAGGATGGGTTCAGGGAAGGCTTCTTGGGGGAGGCGCCCCTTCCACTGCCAAACCTGGATATCTGATGAGCCTTTTGCTAGGAGGAAAGGGGAGGTGGTGTTATTCTGGGCATGGAAAACAGCAAGAGCAAAGAATCAAAGCAGATCAGAGCATGGCTCTGTGAGGGAGCTCCAGAGGGTTTGATGTGGCCTGAGAGGGACTTGTGGGGAACAGACTGGTGGGGACTCAGCTGGAGATGTTGGTTGGGCCATGGGAAGAAGGGTTTTAAGCTAGAGGTGACGGGCCCTCTTAAAGGACTGAGCAGGAGGGTGATGTTTGATGTGCACATCAGATGATTACTCTGCTAGTGGTGGGGAGGACAGGGTGAAAGGGGGGAGGGCAGGAAGGGTGGCCAGTTAGAAGCTGTTACAGGAGTTCAAGGGACATGGTGGCAGCTTGCTTATACCAGGTGCGGGAGGAGATGATTTCGGGTCCATCAGGAAGACTTGATGGACTTCTATATAAAGGGTAGGGGGAAATGGAAGTGTGGGGTGGCTTCAGCTTGGGTTCTCTGCTGACATGGGGTCCACTGGGAGATGAGCTGTCAGGACCTGCTGATCTGGAGGTGCCTGCAAAGGCCGGGTTGCTGAAAGGGCTAGTTCTTGTCTGGGTGAATGGCGCCCCCTGGAGGTTGCATGTATTGCTCTGGAGTGACAACAGGATGGAGAGGAGCAGTGGGCCATTGGGTACATGGATGTGGAGCTTGGGGTACAGATAGGAACTGGGAGTCAGCAGGGTGGAGCTGGGAGGGTGGGATGGCCTGGGGAGAAGGAGCAGAGGGAAGAGAGCAGAGGGCTGGGCATGGAGCTGTGGTGTCAGTTGCAACATTTGTGAGGGTGGAGCCCAGCCTGGCCCCAGGCCCACACCATCACCAAGATGCAGTTGGCCAGAATAGCAGCCCTCAGGCCAGGTGTCTGGAGCCCCCACGGAGCGGGTGCCTGCTCTGTTCTCAGTGCCAGCTCCATGACTTCACCCTCTTCCCTTGCAGGACCGGACGAGGGCCGCCCTCTTGGACAACCTTCACGATGAGCTCCATGCACGCACACAGGCCATGCTGGGACTGGGCCCAGAAGAGGACAAGTTTGAGAATGGGAGCCATGGGGGATTCCTGGAGTCTTTTAAGGTACGGGCACAAGAGTGGCTGAGGATTGCTGTGACGGGGAGGGTTGGGATGAACAAGGGAAGAGGGCAAGCTCCACATGACCCTAACCCAGGGCTCAAGTGCCAGCCAGAGGCTGCAGGACCAGCAGGGGCAGTGCAGGTGTTTGCAGAGGGCAGGGGCATCAGGAAGTGTGAGTGGTGGGAGCAGCCAACGGTGTCTGCTGCATCCTCCACATTCTTCCGTGATCTAGGTTATCTCTTCCTGGCCAGGAGGTTGTTGACAAGTAGGGACTGGGACAGAGCAGAGAGCAGCCAGTGCAAACCAAGTGCATTATTGCTTCCATCTGCCTCCCTCTGTGGTCAGGGTGCCAGGACAGAATGACAGGAGCAAGGACACAAGTCCTAGGTGTCTTCTGCAGCCAGTGTGGGGTACTGCAAGGATGTTTTCCAGCTGGCAGGACACTGGAAGACCTGCCAGGGCCAGTGTGATGGAGTTAAGGCAAATCCCCATGAACCCTGCAAAGGGAAGAACTTTCTAAGCAGAATGAGCTACTAAAAGAAGTAGTGAGTTCCCTGTCCCTGGAAGTATTCAAGTGGAGCTGGGACAGCCACTTCACTTGCATGGTGTAAAAACGGCTCACTGTCACGTGCTTGCCAAGTGCTTGTTGGTCCAGACAGCACTTACCTCCAGCATCTGATCTGAGCCTGGCTGTCACCCTGCGGTTGGCACAACCGGTCTTGTTATTTCACTCGCACACAAGGGAGCAGGACAAGAGGCCTCAGGACTGCTCAAAGCCGTGTACCTATTTAGAGGTAAAGCCTTGTTTCGAACCCAGGTTTTCTGGTCCATAGGTCAGTGTTCTGCTGAACTGCCCTTTGCAGAAGGGTTTATAAAGCTGCTGTTCTGCGGCCAGTATGTGGGTTGAGGGTTCCACCTGCCTATGTTAGAATCCCAGCTGTGTGATCCTGGGCAGGGTCTCGAAGGTCTTGAGGCTTCAGTTTTCTCATCGATGGTGCAGGGCTGATAATGGGACTTCTGTTTTAGTGTTGTTGGGAGGATTCAGTGAAATAGCCTGGAGGAGGGCATGTGGCCTGGGACAACTAAAGAGCCAGGGAAGGTGCTGCTGTTGTTATTGTCTTGTAAAGTGAACATGTAACACACATTATCCTTGCCTCTGTGCCCCGTGGGTAAGGCCATTATTATGGGTAGGGTCGTTTTGGCATAATAATTCATACCCAATTTCACTAATTATGAGCATAATTTTACATGTGAGGAAGCTGAGACTCAAAGAGACACAGTAATTTGTCCCAAGTCACCCACAGATACCAGAGTCTGTGTCTGCCGCATTCCGAAGCCTGTGTTCCTAAGGACCACATGGCGAGGCCTCCCAGTTCCCGACTCAGTTAAGATTCCACCCGTGCTAGCCTGGCCTGGGCAAGCCTGGGGTCTGTCCCTCGCTGCCAGGCCGGGCACAGAGGATAGGGCAGGGCCCCACTGGCCCTGAGGGCCAGCTGCCAGGATTCCTCACGAGGGTGCGGGCAGGAGCCGAGCTGCTTGTCCAGGCTGGTGGGAGATTCCTGGGGCATCTGTTTCCGCCCTGATGGACAGTGGCAGCCAGGATGAAACAGAAACTGAGAGGTCGAGGGGAAAGGGGGCCAAGGGAGAAGAGGGACAGGGGAGGAGAGAGGGAGCCAGGTCAGCTAGCCCAGCAGGGGGCGGGTGAAAGTGAGACCAGGTGAGTAGGAAAACTGCTGCAGGCTCCGCCCTACATCACAGCAAGCCTGTGGAGTGCTCCTGGGTCCCGCAGTAAATGTGATTTATACACAATGTGAGCTGCAGTGGACTGCAGACATCTAAGGAAACAGTTGCTGCATTCAGTTTTGCAGGTTGCTTTCTGTACTTTGGAGTTAACAATGGTTTTTTTCACGTTTACAATACTTTTACAACCTGGAAAAGCTAGTAGGCTGTGGACACTCTGCCCATGGTGCCCTGTGGATAAAATGGCCCAGCAGCTCCCTCCATTTGTGGGTAGAAAGGGGAGTGACCTCAAGGCTGCGTTCCAGTCCCTGCCTCTGGACCGACTCCAGCGTGTCTGACTGGAGGAGTTGCCAAGAGAGGGAGATGCTTCGTGACTTTGTCATTTCTTGTCTTTGACCCAGTAATCTGGGCCGTTTTTCTTTTCAACCCTGGACCCTTCCAGCTGTAGGCCGAAGACACCTGCTTCTACATTTGACTTCCACACCTGTATCCCAGGGGGCGCTGTGGGGTGAGGGAGGGGACTGTCCTGGTCCGTGGGGTCTCGCACAGAGCAAACCTTCAGAGCTCTGCGGTCGTGAGCAGCTCTTTCCCGTCCCCCCTGGGGAACCCAGCTCTTTTGCCCCTTCTATTCCATCATTGTCTTCAGGTGTCCCAGGCGGTGGAGGCCAGGGATTCTGGTGTTTGGGGGATCCTGAGGGATTCTGGTGTTTGGGCCTTGCCTGTGGCCAGGCCTGGGGTCTGCCCCGGCTCAGGAAACTGTCTCCAGTTTTGGTATTTCTTCCTAGGCACCTTGGGTGGTGCTGTGGTATCAATTATTGACATTCCTCTTGGGGTTTCTTATCCAGACTTCCACAACATCCTTCTTACAAGAAGTGGTGCTTGAAATGACTCCAGGAAGAAAAGTTGCATGTTTTCTCTCCTTCCTGTCCCAGTTCTCATCTCGCATGTGCATGGGAACATAACTGAGGGTTCCCAGGGCTGAACGCACTCTCAGCCGTCCATCCCTGCCTCTGTGACCGCCCTCCCCAACCCTGCAGTGCAGGGACCCTTCGCCCCCCTGCTGGGAAGCAGCCCCTCACACCTGTGCTCCTGGCTCCTCCCACACTGGGAATAGCTCTTCTCCCCATCCATCTTCCGTTCTCCTGGCTGTCCACGTCAGCGTTTCTCCATGAGAAACGGAACAGTTGGTTTATGCCAACTGGACCTGCTTCTGAGCAGGTGCTTGGTGGTATTCTCAAGAACCTGTCAGTTCTACACTTTTAAGTTCTGCATTTTTACTTAGTGGGTGATATAAAAAATATATTTCCAATCATAGAGACTAAACTTCTGCAGTGAAACTCACAATTGAAATACATGAGTGAGTAGGCAGGTTGCTCTGGGGTTGGGGGGTGTCTATGGACATATTCCTGGAGTCTTGCCAGAAGGGTTTTCTTTATAAGGGATCTGTATATTACTCACATTGGGAAAATACCGATCTCTAGACTGTTGTTCTCAAATGCCACTCTCAGCCACTGCCAGCTGTTGACGTTTTTGTTGGTCCCTAATGAAATGAAAAGAAAAAGCGATGCTGCTTGAGGTCCCAACATAAAGCACATGTGAGGCACATTTTGAGAAGTCCTGAGCCAGCCCAACCCCTCTGTTCAACTCATCATGCAGCAGGGGCACTGGCGGGCCTGGGAAGTGAAGGTCACCCAGCAGCCTCTGAACTTGGACCACCTAAAACAGGGAGCTGTCGAGTGAATTTCTCCTAGCCTTTGCAGGCTGTGGAAGTTGATGCGCGGGTCTGCCCTGACCCCTAGTGGCAGGAGAGGAGCACCCGGCTGCAGCTATCTGGGCAGAGTGCCTGTAGGCAGGGGCAGCATAGAACAATCGTCTGTCTGAAAGATGGGAGGAATATTTCCTTCTCTGGTCGGCCTCCCTCCTTTATTTGTGCTGTTAGTGGGAAAGAAGACCCTGTTTTGGACCTCAGAGTACTTTCTGCTTAGGGGCCATCACAGCGGGCAAAAAATTAGCATCTTTCTCTCTGAGGGCCCCCTGCCTCTATGCCACAGGGGTGTCTGTGAATGTGAACCAACACAAAATAGTAAATTTACATAAAACATTATGAGATTTTTTGGTGATTATGTGTCACAATGTATTTAATGTGTGGCCCAAGACAACTCTTCTTCCAGTGTGGCCCAGAGACGCCAAAAGGTTGGACACCCCTGCTAGGGCTCACATGGTCACATGTCCCCCTCGGTGGTCATCCTTGAATTGAATTTGCTAAATTGAAACAACTCACGAAACCCATTTGTAAGGAAGTGAGGTTTGTGTTGGCCCAGAGGAGATGTGCTCCCTTCAGGACACTAACTGGTCTGATGCACACCCCGGTTGGAATGAGGTGGCTTCAAGCCGACCATGAGAAGGTGACTCTGCCCCTCTTTCTCACTCCCCCAGAGGAGAACTCGCTCTCGGGTAAGTTGTGAGGTGCGCCAAGGGCCGGGAAGCCACGGTGGCTGAGGGTGGGTGACAGAGCCAGGGGTGACTAGCTGGGAGGTGAGCAGATGCTAGGGACAGGCAGGAACAGCTGTGTGCGGCGGGGAGTGGATGGGTCTGAGATGCCGATGTTAGAAATGGTAGGATTTCCGCTCAGTGCACAGAAGCCCTTTCCAAGAGCCCGACTCTTCCCCATTGGACGGGAAGGCCTGAGAGCAGTGAGCAGCCTGTCCCTGGGATGTGCAGGTGGAGAGGACACGAGCTGTGGCCTGGATGTGCAGGGGCCCAGTGGGAGAGGGGCCAGGCACCCCTCTCGGGAGCCCCCCCCGACGCCGCTGCAAAGGCTCCCTGTGCCTGTCTGCATCTCTCCTGCCCCCTCTTTCCACATCGCTGCCCTTGCTCCCTCTCCACCTGGTACCTGACTCTCCGGCCCGACTTGAGAACACAGTGCGCCCAGCTCGGCCCCAGAGGGAATGTGCGACACGTCAGACCACGTCCCTGGGTGATTTTGCCCAAGTGGGGCATCATTCATTACTTTAGGGTTTCCAGGTAGCCATCCTCATTCTCTTCTTCCGTCCCTCAGAGTGGGGAGGAGAGATGACCGTGAGCAAGCAGGCATCACACCGAGTAGTTGTCATCCTCATACAGGGACTGTCACCACGTCGTACCGACGAGGAGACTGTGTCTTGGAGAGGTTCACACACCGTGCTGGGAACAGCCAGGTTCAGCCCTACACACCCCTGAATTCCCTGTCAGCCCCCTGTCCCCTCAGACCTGCCTCGCTCACTCCCTCGGCAGCACCAAGGGCACGTGAGCAGAACGCTCCTCCTGGACTCCAGTTCGGGCTCTTTCGAAGGGAGGCTGACACCCCTTGGGTTCTAGTCGCCCTCAGTCCTTCAGCCAGTGGAAGTGTATGTTTGATCTGGACTCAGTTTTGGGTTGCTGGGACCCTTTCATCAAGAACCCAGGGTGCTGGGTTTGGGTCCTGGTTCCATCTCTTAGCTTTGGTGTGACCTCAGGCGTCACTCACCTTTCAGGACCTTGCCTCCCAGCGTCGGTCCTCTGAGCATCTCAGAGTCGTGGGGTCTCAGTGGGATCATGCCTGTGTAGCTCAGAAGACCAGATGCCAGCACACAGTGCTCATTCCACATGTTTAGTTTTTCCTGGGAAAAGACAGCGAGAACACATCTGAACATAAATGATTCATGGCCGTGTCACAGTTGATGAAGATGGTGGTGACACACAGGAGGGCCCCAGGGAATGTATTGCGCTCAATGGAGCACTTGACTCATTTAAGGAAGCTGGGCGTTTACCCATGGACACCTCAGGGTGGTGCCGCACCTTTCCTGCCCTGGGCTTTGCAGAGGGCCCGGGACTTGGTGGGTTTGGGTGGTGGCATGAACACAACATGCTGGCTGTTCCAACCGTGTTGTGGGAGACTGTTGCTGGGGCACTCTCTTCTGTGGCCTAGAGAGAGAGTTGAGGTCCCGGAGGGGGCGTCTGTGGCTCAGACAGGCCAGGCCAGAGGAGTGACAGGGCCCGTGGGCTCCGTGCTTCATTCACGGGGAGCTCCCTTCCAGCAGAGTCAGATTTACAAACGGCCCCCCTCCCCGAGCCAGCTCCCCTCCTCGGGGCAGAAAGGCAGCAGTCTGTGGTGCTTGGTCATTCCTGAACTTGGAGAATTCGGGGTCTGCTGTTTGGGCTGGGGGCAGCATTCTTGCTGATTTCTTGGGCCTATCTTTCCATAGGCCAGGCTCTTCCCTCGATGCTTCAAGGGAGGGAAGGGCCGCTACCCCCACGGGACAATCTGTAGCCTGGCACGCGGAGCATGCAGGCAGAGACGCGTGTGTGTTCACGCGTGGGTGTGAGCCAAGTGAGGATGGGAGCAGTGCCCACACGTTTGTCCCTCTGCATCCGTTTTCTGAAGCTGCGGTTCTGAGAACACCCTGCCTCAACTGGCTCACGCAGGAAGCGACATCTGTCAGCTCGCCTGACCGGAAGGCCTCAGGCGACTTGCGGCCCAGCCTGGCCACGGGTGGGCAGGCAGGTCCTTCCCTGTTCCCCTCTGCCGTCCCCACCTGTCAGCTTCACCCTCAGCCCTCATCCCTCATAGCCCAAGGGGGTGGCTGCAGCTCTAGGTACAGACATGTCGCATCTCTTTAGGGAAACATTGAGGAACTCTTTCCTCAAAGCCCCCAGCTGCTGTCCCCTCATGTTCCACTGGCAAGGGTGTGGATTACATGCCTCCCATAGAGGATCATGGTTGACTCCTTTGTCCTGTGGAGGAGGAGGGGCTGTTGGACCAGATGGAGGCTCTGGCAGCCAGCAAGGAACAGGATGGGATGGCACTTGTATGTGAGCAACCAGTAATATTTGCATTCGAGAGTCCTTGCATGTGGCTCTGAGGCCCAGGGGCCCTGGACAGCGAGTTAACACAGCGGGAGCACCCCATGGGCCCGGGTCCTTTAGTGCTGCCTACTTTTAGGAATGTCCCATTTCCCCCACTGATGTGCACACTCCTGGGAGGTAGGGCTGTGTCTCACACCCCTCTGGCTCCCCTCCTGCAGTTCTCCCAGCGGGTGGCACTGCGCTGGGCACACGGGAAGCACATGACAAATGCTTGTTATTAACAGTAAGAGTAGCCACATTTATTGGGTACTTAGGGTGTGCAGGGCTCTCAGCTAAGAACTTTGTATGCCTGGCTGCCTGCCCGTATTGTTGAGTGACTGACTGAGTGACCAAAGGGAAGTGATGTGGGGTTTGGGGGTTCTTGGAGAGAAACTTCTTTCCTGGAACTCTCGTGTCATCTTCGAAGGCCTTCCGAGCCAGGAGCATCGTCCTTGTGGTAGTGGAATCCTCTAGGGCTTCCGGCGTCGGAAAATCCTCCCTCGGCCCCCGCTGAGATGTGCCCACCTCACTCTAACCGCTCTCCTTGGGACAGGTTCCAGAGCGATGCCCCACAGGGCAGTGTGAGAGCTGCCGCCACCCCCCAGGTCTGTCCCTGCTGTGGGCTTAGCAGTCTTCATTGTAACTGTCCCTCTTATCTTCGCATGCACAGGGACAAGCCCCTGACTGTCCCGGTTGTCCTTTCTGGGACACTGCACTTTGTGCCCTATGCTCTTTGGTGGCCCTGAGTGGGCACAGGGCTCTGCGTGCCCTGAGCCGCTCTGGGCCCTCTGAGGGCTCCAGCCTCGTGTCTGAGCATGCACATCCTGTGTCAGCAGCTGAACCAGGTGGCAGGTTCATGTTGACAGTGTCCTTAGCCCCTGCGAGTGTGGGCGGTGGCTCAGGGCACGGATCAGGAGGAGCTTGGGCCACAGTTCACTGAGTTGTGCAAGGTGCACTTTGGGGTGACAGCAGAAGGGATACCCAGTGTTCAAATGCAGGGTGCCTGGTTTTCTGGAAACAAGAGTCAAGTTGGGGTGAAGGATGTGGCTGAATAATGCTGCTTGGACCTCATCATTTCCAATTTATAGCAAGGGAGCTGCAGCTTAGAGAGCTAGACCAGGGTCATGCCGATTGGTGAGCTGTTCGAGCCACTTTCCTCGCTGTAATAACCTTTGTCCACCTTGCAGGGGACCTGGGGCACTGATCGCTCAGACTCTCCTGGCTAGTATCCTCCTTCACCTCCACCTGCAGAGAGCCACCCACGCCCAGAGCAGGCAAAAATCCTCTGTAGACTCCAGGGATTAGAGGGCCACCACCCCCAGGGAGAAAGGGCGTGTGCGTGGGTGTGGTGCACACGTGTGCCAAGGGCCGTGTCTGCAGAGCCCTCTGAGAGGGCAGGGCATTTGGACGGGTCCAGCTCCCGCTCTCAGGTCCCCGTCCTCTGCCATCCCCACAGAGGGCCATCCGCGTGCGCAGCCACTCCATGGAGACCATGGTGAGCAGCCAGAAGAAGCCGCATGGTGGAGGTCTCCCTGGCAGCCTTAGCGGGGGCATCTCCCACAACAGCACGGAGGTCACCAAGACCACCTTCTCGGTGAGTGCCTGCATGCGCCGGGGTCCCCCAGGTTGTGGTCAGGGAGGGGTGTGTTGGCCCAGGTGTGGGCTAGGTGACTAGAGCAGAGGAAGTGTGATGATGGAGGGAAACCAAGGCAGGCTGGGGGGCGGTCCCCTGTAAAATCAGAGCCTCCTCCTGGCGGCACCTGGCCTGACCTGGACCAGAGCCCTCCTGTGGTCCTGTTTCCTGGGTTCCTGACACCTGGGCCTCCCCGTCCCGGGCAGCCCGGCAAAGTGGTCCTGGGACGCATTTTTCCGCCTGGGGCTTGGGACTGTGACTGTCCTGAGAGAGGCGCGTCAGTGTTCTGTTATTATCAAGGGTAGGAGTGGCTGCCCCTGCTTGCTGTGCACCGGGCACTGAGCTGAGTAATTTGTGGACCCTGTCCCAGCTGCGTGAGGTAGGAACGGCTGTGCTCCCTAGTTCACGTTTGAGCAAGAGGAGGCCCAGAGGGGTTAGGTAACTTGCTAGAGATCGCCCAGCTAAGCTGAAGACCTGGGGTTTGGTTGTAGGTCACCCAGATCCCAAGTCTTTGCTCTAAGTCTCTGTGTGTACAGTTCCAAGAGAAGAGAGCCTGGCCGGCCCGGGGGTTTGGGCCTGGTCAGCTTGCACCAGGAGTGGTGCACGTTAGGGTTTGGATTGGTGCGTGTTCGGCCTTTCTTTTTCTTTTCTGTAATAGCAGAACATACCCACCACAGTACCAACAATTCCTATTATAAATGGCCTTGTGTAATTCATTTCATGTACTAAATAGTATTTTCATAGCTAAGACCTTGTTCTTTTCAGAAGGTCTGTGAGGTGAGTGGGCAGGGCAATGTTCTTCAGTCTGTGGATGACACTGAGGCCCGGAAACTTTTCCCCCTCATCCAAGGTTGCACAGCATGCAAATGGCAAAAGCTGGGGCCTGGGTTGGAGGCCTGGCAGGGCCTAAAGGTGGGCTGCAGGCTCCCCCCTCCCCCATCTCAGTCCCCCCCCATTGGCCCCTGCACGTGGCAGAAGCAGAGCCACCCTCTGCTGTGAGTGCGGGTGGACCTGGCCCTGCCACTCGTGTGCTGTCTTGTTATTGTGACACCCAGCTCAAACCCATTTATTTGCAAGCAGTGGTTAGAGAGTCAGGGGCCCTGGGTCCTTATGCTTGTCCTGCTAGTGATTTACTCTATGACCTTGACCAAATTCCCTGCCCTTTGACTCCACAGCTTCCTCATTGGTAGAGCTAGGTAACTCCCCAGGCTCTCTCAGCTTTTCCCAGTCTGTGACCCCCGTGAATCATCCTGTCCTTCTCAATATGTGGGGTTCTCTTAGGGTGGCTCTGACCCCAAGTTACTCTAAGAATTCCGGTTGTTGGTGGATTGTTACCTGGGGCCATCAGGGTCGGGTTAAGAACACAGGAAAATGGGCTGCAAGTGGCGTGAGCCTTGGGTTTCAGCTGCTGTTTCCCGGTCCCAGCCTTCCTGTCTCACTGTTTCCTGGGGTCTCTCCTCCGGACCATCGGTGGGCAGGGTGCAGGGGCCATTTGTAGACCAGAAAGGGGGACACAGGGCAGGAGGTCTAGGTTTGGGGAGTGAGCACTCATTTTGGTGGTTTCATTGGCAGCCTCCAGTGGCGGCGGCGACCGCCAAGAACCAGTCGAGGAGCCCCATCAAGCGACGGTCAGGGCTCTTCCCCCGTCTGCACACAGGCTCCGAAGGCCAAGGGGACAGCCGGACGCGATGGTAACTGCCCAGCGTGGGTTTGGTCAGGTCCCTCTGGAGGGCTTGGCGCAGCTTCGGGGGACGGCGTCCTTCCACCCCCGGCCCCCGCGCCAGGCCCTGCACGCCCGCTGTCCCTCACCCAGCTCACCCACGGAGGCCGCCCCGCAGTCTCTGCACCCGACAGTCACGGTTGTTCTCGTCGCATTTCACACAGGCTAGAAATGTCACTTAAGTGAGTCTTTGCTTGCCTTTTCAAAGCTTACTCAAATGTCCTTTCTACAGAAGCCTTCCCATATTCTTCCAGGCAGAGTTAATTGAACCTTCCTTTGGGTTTCTAGAATGTTCTTCTTCTTCTTTCTTCCTTCTTCCTTTTTCTTCTTTGTTCTAGCAACTCTCATATCATACTTATTCCTTTCTTGCTAATGGCCTTTCTGACCCTTTAATCGGTGAGCCCGTTTGCTGTTTGCTTCAGCCAGTAGCACTTGGTGAGTGCCTGTCCCCTGGGGTGGGCTCCCTGCTTGGATTGGAGCTCCAGAGGCTTGTAGCCTCATGAGGGAAGGGAGGCATGTAGTTGGCTCCCAGTGCCCAAGTTGTCTGCCTGCAGCCCTGGAGGAGGCACCAGCCCCGAGCTTGGTCTTGCAGGATGAGGGGCAGGTTTGTGGAGGGGGATGGAGGGCTCTGTTTGGAACCTATTCATGTGAGTGAGTCCTTGTGGCCCACTCCGTGGAGAAATCCAGAACTCTGAGTGGTCAGAATCACTGTCTCAAGCTTGGGAGAGAGGCCGTGACTGGAGAAGGAGAGGTGGGAGTCACTGGTGTGGAGGTGGTGGTTGAGACGGATCAATGAATACGATCACCCAAGGGTATGTGGAGAAGGCCTGGGCACACCAGCACTTAAGGGCAAGTGGAGGAAGGAGAGAGAGAGCCAGTGAAAAAGACTGGTGGGAAAGGAAGGTGGGAGAGAAGGAGGAGACCCTGGGGGGGGTGGCGCGTGTCAGAAACTAGGGAGGAGCCACTCCAGGAGGGAGGGTCAGCAGTATCAGTTGTGCAGAGAAGTCTAGCCTGGTGGCCCAAGCCCTGGTGTGGGTTGACAATGAGCAGTTCATTAGTGGCCTCATTAGAAGTACATTGAGGCACTTCACGCCTCTGGGACGGTTATAATCAAAAAGACAAATCGTAAGTGTGGGCAAGGATTTAGGGGAATTGGCGCCCTCGTGCATTGCTGGTGGGGTTGTAAACTAGCGCGGCTGCTTTGGAAACCAGTCTGGTGGCTCCTCAGATCCTGTGGTCCTCCTTATGCAGCTACCATACGACCCAGTGATTCTGGCGCTCGGTGTCTACCCAAGGGGAAGAACTCGCATGTCTGCACCAGCACAAGCACACGGGTGTCTATAGCAGCATTGTTCGTCATAGCCAAAAGTGGGAGCGAGCCCAATGCCCATCACTCAGTGAATGGATAAATAAATGAAGTGTATCCCAAAATGGGATATTATCTTATAATAGAAAGGAACGAAGTACTGACTGATACACACTGCAGTGCAGCGAACCTCTGAGCACCATGCTCAGTGAGAGAAGCCACCGAGAAAACGACCACACCATGTCATGTGATTCCATTTGTATGGAATGCCCAGAAGAGGCAAATCCATAGAAATAGAAAGCAGACTAGTGGTTGCCAGGGGCTGGGGAGGATTGTGAGTCTGTCTAGAGTTTCTTTTGGGAGGATAGAAATGTTCTAAAATTAGATGGCAGTCTGGTTGTGAATATGCTAAAAAGGCATTGAAGGGTACGCTGTAAATGAGTGAATTGTATGTGGGTTATATTGCCATGAATCTGTTATAAGAGTAAAAGTACTTTAAGGACAGGGCCGTCTTGTCCCCAACAGAGGGCACATAGCAAGTAGTGGGCAGTGGTACACGGTCGCCCTTAAACTGGAGGAGGAAGAAACCCTTGGGTGCCGGGCTGTGAGTAGCCCATTTACCTGGATGCCCTTCCCAGCCCCAGGGCAGCCTCAGCCCCGGCATCCAGGGAGCTTGTTCTGTAGTCTGTGTGAAGGGCGTGCCCGGAAGTCATGCAACCGGGGCCCTGCCCACACCCCAAGGGGCTAAAGTGCACTGGGTTGGTTCCTGGCTGTGGTGGTGGATGTCCCAGACCCCACTCCATTCCCTCTGTGGCCCGCTCTTGACCTAGAGCTCTGCCAGCTGGGTGCCCTGCCTGGGTTGGGGGTGGGCTTGGTGGCCTCAGGCCAGGACTCTGCCTGGTAGTTCGTGATTCTCCCCCAGCAGCCTGCTGTAGCCCCTTGCAAAGCAGAAAACCCCTGTTGTCCGCCCCTCCTCAGTCTCTGAGGGGGGCGTGGGTGGGAATGGAGGTCTTGGTGGCCATGCTTTGTCAGGGAGTGCTATGACCCCTACAGGTACCCCCATGGTACTGAGAGGGGGCTCTGTCTCGGGCCTGGGGGTGAGGTGGGGGTTGGGGACCGAACCCCTGACCTCACTCCTCTTCATCCTCATTTCCTCAGTGACAGTGCATCCAACAACCCCAAGGCTCTGGATGGCGGGCACTCTTCTCAGGAGATAAAGTCTGAGACCTCATCTAATCCCAGCTCTCCAGAAATCTGCCCCAATAAGGAGAAGTAAGAGTGGGGGTTGGGGGAGGGCTGCTGGTTTTAGCCCCTTGGAGCCCTGCGGTGTGTCTCTGCTCCAGGCCTCACGCTGTGGGAACTCCTTAGAACATGAAAGCCGGCAGGCAGGGCTGGGGGGGGGCCACTGGTGGGCAAGCTCAGTCTGCGGGAGGCCTGCCTTGCCCCAGTCCTGGCCTGTGACCAGGGTCTCCTTCCTGTCCCCCGCAGGCCCTTCATAAAGTTGAAGGAGAACGGCCGGGCCAACATCTCCCGCTCCTCCTCCAGCACCAGCAGCTTCAGCAGCACGGCGGGGGAGGGCGAGGCCTTGGAGGAGTGTGACAGCGGGGTAGGTGGGGCCCTGTCCAGCCCTGGGGGTGGGGAGGGTCCTCTGCCCGCCCCTGCCTGCCCCCCCACACCTGCCCTGTGCGCCAAAATAGCTCCTGTGGGCAGAGCCCCTCCGTTCTCTGGGGACAAAGGGGAAGTGCAGAAACAAGCCCTGGCCAAGTGGCCTCTCCACCCTCTGGGAGCAGTGTTTCAGGGCATCTCCCTGGAGAGACACAGGAGCAGCAGCAGAGGGTCAGAGGCCAGGCTGAGGGGTGTCTCTGCCATGGGATTCCTGGCTGGAGAGGAGAGGGGTCAGTGCTCCATGGGTGTGGGTCGGGGCAATTCCCGGGGGGCAGAGGGGACCTGGGGTTCGAGGCAGCATCAGGGAAGAGCATGTCCCAGCAGGGATTAGGGGGCAGGGGGCAGGGGGCAGGGGCAGGGGCAGCCCTGGGTCACCGGCCTCACTCACCCGGCCTCTCTCCCCAGAGCAGCCAGCCGTCCACCACCTCGCCCTTCAAGCAGGAGGTGTTTGTCTACAGCCCATCCCCCAGCAGCGAGAGTCCCAGCCTGGGGACGGCCACTACTCCCATCATCATGAGCCGGAGTCCTACAGGTCGGTGGCATCTGATGGTGGCACCACGTGGCCAGGGCGGGGACTGTGCTTGACCCCTGTTTGTGGGGCATGAGCCCCAGGCATATTGAACCATTTCTGCTCCAATCCCCAGGGTGCGGCCCAGAGCTCTGCCAGCTCCCTGCACCTGTTCCTCAGCCTTGAGAGCCCGTGTGCTGTCCTCATTCACGGGGAGGCTGCAGCTCAGAGAACTCAGCAATTTGCTGGAGGAGCTGGGATTGTGGGAGTCCAAAGCTGAGATTCTTTCCACTGACCTCTCACTCCACCTCATCACCGACTCAGGGCCCCTCTGTGACAGTGGTGGTCTTCAGAATGCACAGGTGTTGGGTAGGGAGAGTGTTGCAGGTGGAGGGGACAGCACGTGGAAAGTCCTGGTGAGACTGAGAGTCTGTGATCTGGAATCACACATGGGTCAGTGCAGCTGGAGTTCACCAAGGTGACAGGGGACAGATGACAGGAGATCGTGGTTAGGAGACAAGGCTGGGGCTGCCATGGAGCCCCTGCTGAGGATCTGGACCTTATCCTGCAGGCAGTGGAGGCCATTGGGAAGGCTTAAGTCTTTGAAGGTTCTTTAGAGAAATACCATGTGGAGTAGAGAAGGACCACTTTGGTGGCTGCAGCTGGCTCAGTAGACAGGGTTGGTGGACGCAGGTGCAGGGAGGGAGATCCTCAAGGGTTATGGTGAGCGGTGAGGGGATGGCCCATGGATCTGCAGGGTGCTGGAGCAATGGCAGGAGCACGTGGATTCAAGAGATGCCAAGGAGGTAAAGGCTTAGTAGTGGGGTTTCAGGGAGAGCAAGGAGTCTGGGCCTTTTGGGGTTCTCTGATCCCTGCAGTTGGGCAGAGTAGGAGGAGCCAGCTCTGGGGAGAGGGTGGAGGCTTGGCACCTGGGGGGTGTCCCGGTGGGTGTGCACGGTAGGCACCACTGGGTGCTGTGGGTGCTCCGAAATCAGAGCCTTGGGCCTGCCCTCAGGGAGGGCAGCGCAGTGTGGGGGCAAGCACAGGGCTCTGGAGCCTGGGTCCCGATCCTGGGTCTGCCGCTACTAGCAATGTGACATTGGTCAAGTGGCTGAGCCTTTCTGCACCTCAGTTTCCCCAAGCAAAAAAATGGAGGGAGGGGAAATAGTTTCTACCTCATGGTTGTGTGAAGATTGAACGAGCTCACGCCTGTAAGAAACTTACAACTGTTAACCTATGTGCTTGGGAAATAACAGGGACAGAGCAACGGTGTAATCAGGTCTCAGCAGGGAGGGGCCTTGCTCCCCAGGGCGCATCTGGCAGTGTCTGGACAAAACGTCTTTTCGATGTTCATGGTGGCAGGAGGGGCTGCTGCTGGCCCCTCATAGGCAGAGGGCAGGGACGCTGCTCAGCATCCTACAGTGTACGGGGTAGACACCACAGCGAAGAGCTATCTGGCCCAAACGGTCAACAGGCCGAGGTGAGGACACTCTGGTCTAAATGATGGAGATGCAGAAGGGGTCGGTGCGGATGCTCCCTCCGGCCGGGCATCTGCGGAGCTGGGCTGCCATCCTGGCTGCATGACTGATGGCCCACCTCTCTGAGCCTCAGTGTCCTCACCTGTAAAGTGGGGCAGTCACGCAGATTCTCTGGTTTAAGAACATAAGCCTTAACTATTGAAGGAATGAGGGAAAGAATACGTAACCAAGCTTAGCTTCTTCTTGGCATTTTTAAAAAAGATTTTATTTATTTATTTTTAGAGAGAGGAAGGAAGAAGGAGAAAGAGAAGCATCACATTCTCACACGCCCCAACTGGGGGCCTGGCCTGCAGTTCAGGCATGTGCCCTGACTGGGAGTTGAACCTGTGACCTTTCATTTCGCAGGCTGGCTCTCAAACCACTGAGCTACACCAGCCAGGGCCTAGTTGGTATTAAATAAATATAAAAATAACCAAGGTTTTGTGTAAAGGAAGTTTAGAGAGTATCTGCCACTTACTGAAGGCCACCCAGGGCAGAAGGGATGTGGAACAGGCCGAGTGATTCCTGCCTGGTGTTTACTGCACCTCACAGCCCTCTCCCCATGGGGTATGTAACCCTGAGGGGTCGCCTTTCACCCCTGGCTCTGAGGAATTTGTGCCAGGTACCCGCGGGCTCACTCTGGCCCTGCAGAGATCTGGAAACCTATTTTAGACACTTCGGCTGCATCTGAGGAGAGACAGGGATGAGGGGAAGGAGGTGGCCTGGAAGGGCCTGACATTCTTGCCTAATCTCAGATGCCCTGACCATTGGGCATGTCATACCTGGGCTCCCGGGGCCCTGAGAGGGGGTTGGCTGGTCACACCGAGAGGTGCTCATGGCACTGGGAGGACCCCTTGATTGAAGCACCAGGAGTAAATCAGTGGCCTCCAAGTGCGGTGTGCTGAGCTGCAGGTTCTCCGCCTGGGCCAGGTGTGCACCCGCACCCGGCCCGCCAGTGGTGTGCTGGCAAATGTTTCACATCTGGCTGTCTGGCCCCTGTCCACCCTCCCCCCGGAAACATCTGTGTATGCTAATTGTAGATTTTATTGATGTGCAGGGTCCAAAGCACACAATTTATAAATAGTGACAAACTATACACTGTTCTTCACTATAAATCCCATATGGCCAAATGATGCTCACAAAAACACTTTTATTAATCATTTGCCTAACTTTATATCCATAGCCACCTCAAGGATGCGAGTGATGAACAAGCATAATTCTGACGTGAATGGCGATGGGTGTGGTTTTTGTCAGTGATGTGAGCAACTTCTTTGCAGAATTAGACAATAGTTTTCAAATGCTGGAAGAATATTTGCTAGGTTTTTTGTGCTAGTCACAATGCCTAAGACACAGCACATTTTAAATTTAATCTCTATTACTAATATTTTCTGCGTTGGTTTCTGAAGGCTATTAGTATCCTACAGCAAAGTAAATCAAGCTGATGAGCAGCTTTCGCTGATCTTAAGCAGCCGGTGTGACGTGGGGTTGGAAGGAACTACCCAATAGCAATAGACATAAATAACCTTAAAGAATAGGTAATAGTGAACTGTAGTGAAATAACAAGGAAGTGATGACTTTTGAGTATTTATTACCTTTGATGAATATCATTTAATTATAAGCTTATGTAATTAAAAAATGACTGTGTGTAACAACCAGGTCAAAAAAATTTCTAAACAATTTAAAAGTTGGCCCCTGTGACCTGGTGCAAGTCAGCTAGAGCGCCTGGTGGAGGGAGGAGGCCCCTCCCCTGCCCGGTTCCCTCCCCACGGCCTGTGACCTGCTGCAGCCCCGCCGCCTCTCCATGGGCATTCTTTTTTTTTTTTTGAAAGAGGAAGAACCACTTTAATTGATATAATTTCATAACAATAACATGTTCAATAATGCAGTGTATAAAATTGTTCTAAGTGCACCAAGATTTTTATTTTATTTTTATTTAAAAGTATTTTATTGTTTATGCTATTATAGTTGTCCCAAGTGTTCCCCCATTGGCCCCATGGGCATTCTTCTTTGTCCTAGATGCCAAAAACAGAAATTCCCCGAGGTCAAACCTAAAATTCCGCTTTGACAAGCTCAGCCACGGGAGCTCCAGTGCGGTAAGGATGGAGGGGCGTGGGAGTGGCGGGGGGCCTCCCACAGCCCATCTGCCAACCTCCTCCAAGAGGCAGCCTTCCTTCCTGGGGGCACATCACCGTGGGGGGGAGGAAAGCTTTGGTTCTATCTGGGGGTGATGCCATCATGCAGTGCAGTGCAAGCATCAGCTTGGGGGTCACCGGCCCCCTCTGCCACACGTTCTGTGTCAGAGCTGTGCCCTTGGACACACACAGGTGTGAGTTGTGGACTGTCGGCTCCTGGGGCCTCCGGTCCCTCCCTGAGCTCACTGGGGGTTGGGGCCTGAGTGCACTGAGGTTGCAGTTGGTAGGGATGATGTCATCTAGTTTTATAAAACTCTTGGATGGATTTCTCTTGAAACAGGGTCACTAATGAGAAAGAGGAGTCCTTTGCGTATCAAAGGTAGGTCAAGTGTTTGTCTTGCTGTGGCCACGTGGCCTGGTAACCTGAGAATGGCCTGAGGGACCCTGACAGCTGGGGAGCGTCCAGCACCTCTTCCCAAGCCTCTTTGGCGCCGCCCAGGGTGGGGAAGAAGGCAGGTGGCCTCAGGTGTGGTTGGGAAGGGCTGTTTGGTAATATGGGCCAGACCCACTGAGGTGGTCTCCCTGCCCCACAGGAGCCCGGTTGAGGGGCAGTAGCCCAGAGCCTGCTTTCCTCTCCTGGAGGGGAGAGTCCTCAGTTTGCCCACTTGCCCTTCTGCTCTCAGCAGCTTTTCCCTCCTGGTCTTTGACCACAGCTGGGATGAGGCCCTGCCTAAGTGTCCAGAGAGGCCTCAGCGCTGTAAACGTGTAGGCGACCTGAGGGAGGACCTCTGCTCCCAGCCACAGCGCTGGGAGCGTGTCGTTTTCAGCAGATCAGGGCCTGGGTCCAGCTCGCCTCAAGGCCTCAACTTGTACTAGTGAAGTTAGTAGAGACCCTTCTGAATCCCCACCCTGTGGTGGGGCTGCAGGTGTGTGAGTCCCGGAGCCACAGGGAGGGACAGAGCTGGGCCCATTGTGTATTGAATCTGATCTGTGAGAAAAAACAGAACAGGAAAAGGGGATGCTAAGTTCTACTCCTAAGTAGAACTTAGGTGATGGGAAGGAGCGACATGCCTGGTTCACCAGAGTCATGTTATGCTCAGAGTCTTGGCCACCACAGGCTGGCACCCTCCTGTCCTGGCGTGTCCAGTGGGCTGTGGCCATGGGCATGCGAGTTCTCCCCTCCTTCCCTCACCCTGTGTTTATCATCTCCCTCCTTCTCGTCTCCTCCAGGGAAGCCTCAGTTCTGTCTCGGAGAAGGCTCCTGTCCTAGCAGTGCGGGGGTGCCATTCACTACTATGACCATCACAGGCCTGTTGCTCCACCGGCCACCTGCCCACCAGACCTGTCCTGATGTCCTGACCTGTCCACAGTGGCCCGCCCCTTCTCCAGGACACCCTGCCAGCACCTCCCCTTCTGTGGACAAAGCCTCATTCCTCCAGTCTCCCCTGCTCCTCACCATCCCCTGTGCTGTGTGTCTGGGGCATTTGTTATCTTGTTTTTGCCTGCAGAGGCAAGTGTTGGGCAAGGGGGAACCTGGGTACTGGGGACTTGGAGACCGGAGAGGCAGAGAGCATGGGATGTGGGGAGTGCAGGCCCACTGAGGGCTGTGTCTTGGGCCTGGTAGGTATAGTGAGTGCGTTCTTGCTGGTGGAGGGAGCACTTTTCTAGGGGCCCATTTGTAGCTCCTCAGAGATGTCCTGATAGACATTGGCTCTGTTGCTCTCACACTTCTGGAGCTCCCAGTATCTGCTTGCTTCTCTGCCAGGAACTTCTCCTCCTTCTGCTGCCACAGGCCCAGGGCTGCCTCTGTCCCTGCTGCCGGCGCACAGCCCGGTGTGTGTGGGAGCGGGCGCCACACCCTTCCTTTTGGCTGATTTCATGCCAGCTCTAGTCGGTGGCTGCTGGGGGAGAAGCCCTGTGTCGGTGGCTCCCCTTTGAGTGTGTGTTTTTCCCATGAAGGGGAGAGCAGCCAGGACAGAGAAGGAATCCAGGGAGAGAGCCAGTGAGCGCCTGGGCCTTGGCAGAGGAGGACCTTGGGTGCGAGGGTGAGGCGGTGACCCAGGTGGTGGCTGTCCCTGGAGGTTCATGGAGAGTTACCCCAACCCAGCTCTTTTGTGGAGCGGGAGAGGTGAGGTGGGGATGACTCGGTAGGTGTGGTCAGGCCGACTGTGGGTGTAGAACTTAGGTGACAGGAAGGAGCGACCTCCTTCTGCATTTCATGTGGGCAGCTCAGTGCTGCCTGGGGGGCTCTTTCCAGCGACTGTGCCCTTTGGCTTTGTCAGGGTGGGATCCCCAGCCCTATTCCCTTTCCCAACTGTGGGCCTGTGGGCAGCTGTCACACTGGAGGCATTCCTGCATCCTGGGCCCCGGCTGGGTGCAGTTCGGACACCACCTGCCATCTGCCCCCTCAGCTAGAGAGAGCCACCTCCCCTGGGATGGGACAGCCGCTCCCTGCTTCTCACTACCCACCTGAGTCTGCAGGTGGTTTCTGCAGACCTGCCCTGGCGGGGTTTAAGGCCTGGTGTCCTCCAGGTAAAAACAGAGTCTGAAGAGCAGACTCTTGGAGGTGCTGCAATTTCAAGTGTGCATGGGGCGTCCGGGACACGGGGCTGCACGCTGGCTGGGCTCCTGCTTGAATGAGCAGGTGATGAGGGTTTCCAACCAAATGCTTTATTTGCATTGGATCTGGGCTTATCCCCAAAGTCAAGGCATACAAATGTTACCCTTGTTTTTGACTGATGTGGCCATTTCCCCATTGCTTTTTCAGTTAGAGCAAAACCTCGATCCTCTGCTCCCCTGCTCCCATGGATGTGGTGGGATCTGGTCTGCGGGCTGGTGGACCTCTCCCCCACATTATTCAGGGAATGTGTTTACTTAAAGTACTAGTCCAGTAGAACTTATTCTAGTTAGAAGGTCAACAAATGCCTGTTTAGATTTTATGACAAATCACCGTGGCAGCACCCACTGCTGGAGCGAGGCCTGAGGATGCTGGCAGCGTTCTGCTGGCTGAGTTTCTGAAGGAACTTGGAAGGTCAAACTGCATTTCTTTAAAAACAGTTCCAGGGTTCTGGCTTGCTTCTTTGGATAGCCGGTACTTATAGCTGCTCCGTGGTTGTGCTGTGTTGTGTCATGGTCTGGGGGTCTTCTGGGGTTTCCAGGTGGCCCCCACTCTGTCCTACTTGGGAACCTCATACCCCGCTTCCCCCTGTGCTCTGCTGCCCCCACTGCAGCTCCCACCTGCTGGGAGGGCTTCCCTCCTGCCTCCGCCAGTGGCCGGCATGGCTGGGTGTGACCAGGGAAGCTGAGAGGTGCAGGTCTGCCCTGAGCTTCACTGACCTGAGAGGGGGCATTTACCCTCTGTTTGCTAATGGGGATGCTCTGGGAAGGATCTAAACTGTTCCTCCCCTCATGTCCTGCATGACCATCCCTAAAAAAGTCCATCCTATGGCTTCCAGAATGTACATACCCAGCCTCCCTGAGGTCCCAGGGCTGAGGGGGAAGAGGAGAACCAGGACCCAGCAGGCTCTGCTCCCTGCTCTGGACCTGGACGCTGCCTTCCCCACAACCCCCTTGCTTCTGCTCTGGCCCCAACTGTCTTTCCTTTCATTGCTGTGTTCAGTCTTGGGGCTCAGAGATTTGCTGAAAGCTCCTTGGTCCTCGTGGCCAGGCTCATCCCAACGGTGCTCGTGCTGGCATTTGAGGCATCCCGAGTGTGATCCCCGGACCCGTCCCTGGCTCCAGGAACTGCCTGAGTCACGGACGAAGCCATGCTTGTCAGGCTCTGTGGGGCACCCCCACGCCTCTGCTTAGATGATGCTGAAACGCAGATGCAGGAAGAGCCCGGATAGGTTTCTGTCATGAATGGAAGATGGCGTTTCTTAAAAAATATTCCGTGGTTTAGCCTTGACAATATCATCTTGATGTCCATGCCTTCTGGGCTCCTTGTAGCATCTGATCCAACCACGTCACCTTCCAGATAAGAACCTCAGCTCCGGAGCAGGGAAAAAGAACTTGCTTGAGGTTGCATAAGCAGCTAGTGGCAAAGCTGGGATTAGAACACACAGCCCAGGGCCCATTCTTTGGCACCACCTACACGGTTGGTTCAACAAGGGCTGCATTTCCTGGGGCCCTGGCTGGGAGGTGTCTGCAGTCAGGGGTGCTGGTGGGGCCTCTGACTCTGTTCCTTTCATCGGGAGGGATACTGGGCTTTTCAGTGGCTTGTTCCTGGGTGACATTGACTCTTCAACTCTGGTGTGTAAGGGGGTGGAGGCCAGGGCATAGATGCAGTTATCCAGCCCTCAGTTTCCCCCTTTTCAGTTAAGAAAAGTGTAAATGAGAAGTCTTTGATTCTCCCTGGTCCTTAAACAAAGGTGGTAGTAAAAATATAGACTCAAGCGGCTAGGTGGGACGAGAGCCTGTTTCAGTTTCTTACCCTGACTGTTCAAGGTGCCATCTCAAACACTACCTTCGTCCTTCCACTGGGAGTCAGCAGAGGCGGGCCTGTCATGGGGGAGTAGGCAGGGTTCCAGCAGAGCTTAGGGCTGCGGGTGGCAGGCAGCGATCAGATCAGCTGTGCAGCTGTACTCAGGACAGCTCAGCTCCTCCCCCAGCCTGTGGATACCCCTTTCTCGAAGGCCAGGCATGGGAGGCAGTGGAGTTCACTTAGGTTGTCCCCAGGTGGGGGCCAGGTGGGGCATTCTTCTACAAACTCTGATCTGTTTTACCACTAGCTCCCTGCCCTGCTCGCCTCATGTCTCCCTCCTTTTAGCTGGGCCGTGTGCCACTTTGAGGGGAAGGAGACAACCCCCACTAGGGCCAGGGACAGGGGAGCCCTGCCTAGAGCGAGGCCACTGGGGCAGTGGCTCTGTTCTGTGCCTGACCTGCCCTGGGGAGAGGGTGTGTGGCTGGAAGACTGGAATTTAAATGCCATTGTCTTTGATTCTGTGACATTTCTGCTTGGAAGAGTCAGTCCCCCGTTCCCGCTCCTTAGCATGTGTGCCAACTCTCCCCTGTCATGGAGTTCCCCTTCACACTCCAGCCCAGGGAATGCTGACGTGGCAGTGTGCAGAGATCCCTCGGTGTGACCGAACCTTAGAGCTGTAGCTTGGAGATGCTGATCACGTGGTGAATGACTTTCCTTCCTTTCCTCTTCGTGGGGAGGGGTTTGTAGACCCTGACTGCCTATGTAATGTAAATAGTGTACATTTAATTTATTGCTATGGTAGCACATTGTATTTGTTAATGTATAAAACAAATTCTAAAAGGTTGACAAATGTATATTTTGTTGCTTAAATGTGTCTTTGCAGAAATTGACAATAAATAACATATTTTGTGTCCATCAGTGTTCGGACTTCCTTGCTTGGGGCCCCTCTCCTGAACCTTTTAGTTCACAGAGGTTGAGCACTGGCAGCCCATGGGCCTGTTCATTTGGTATCTAAAAAGTGGTTGAAAATTTTCCAACTACTTGCTGATGTTTAAAAAAACTGACCACCATTAAAAGTTTTTTTTGAAAACCTAGATACTTCACAGAAAACCTGAATTTTCTGCTTCTGTTAAAAATCAGATGCTGGGTCCACTCTTTCGGAGTGGCACTCATGGGGATCGGCACGCGCCATAGTGCCCGCTGGTCCCACTGCCGACACCTGGAGTGTCTCACTCTTTCTTGTCCTCTGCTTGTCCCTGTAGGCGCTCTGAGTTTGAGGTCCCTGCTGTTCACAGAGTGTCTTCAGCCTGGGATCTCCTTGCCTGCTTTCTTTCCAGATTCCCAGTTTGCTTCTTCAAGGTTTCTTCATGAGTAAATGTGCCCCCCCCTGCCCCGCCCCCATCTTCTTTGACTCCTGGGTGGCCACACTTACATATATACACTTTGCTTTCCAATGTTTGGATGTGCAAACTTTACAAAGTTTAGAAGTAATATGTGTATTTATTTTTCCTTTAAGAAATTTGAAGGCAAGAAATGGGCCTTTATTTCCTGGGACTTGGTTGGGTGGTCTTGGGTGGTCTTAACTTCTTGGATTTTTATTTTCTTTTATGTATAATTGGGGAAATAACCCACAAGGAAAGCATGAGGCTAAAAGTGAATTTATAATCAGGAAAGAGATTTGGGAGAAAATAAGTGTTATTCAAGTGCCAGAGCTTCAGTAATAATTGTTGTTATGATAACAGTAAGAGCAGCCGACACTTATTGAATGCTTCCCTGGAGCTTAAGTGTTTTACATGCTTAGTCAGTTCTGCTGTAACCTGGCATCCTAGCCCCTAAGAAGTCTCAGCGCTGTGCAAAACTGTACAAACGGAAAAAATAGGGCTAGGGACATAACATATAACAGTGACAGATAAAAGTAAATATTCACTAGTCAGTAAAAATGGTAACAGTTTTACACATGTTGAATGACTGAGAAATATATAAATGCTACAATAAATATGGCGTTTTTTGAAATATCCCCGAAGTTTGACTGCGGCACGGGTGTGGAAGGGTTGCCACGGTGAGCTGCTGAGAAGTGGAATGAGAGGTTTCCCGAACTCCGGAGGACGGCAGCCGCCCCAGATGTGGACGGTGTGGCCCCTCACATGTGGTACGCTGTGGAAGCTGTGGAGGTTTGGGGTGTGGATGTGTAGGTTTTCTGTGCACCTACGCAGCTCCATTCAGCTGGATGCAGTTTTCTGCATTCACCTGTATTTCTCACGGGAGAGTTGCACCCTCAAATGTGCAATTTATGTTCTACTCATATTTTCTTCTAATATATCAATTGTGTTGGACCACCTTACCATTTTCAAAATGAGTATTTCCACAGAACTGATCATATTATCTCAGTCATCCAAGCAACCTATTAAGGCATGTGTTATTGTCTCTCTTTCATTTAAAGAGTCAGAATCAAGTTTCAGTTAGGAATCTAAATTGGATGCAGGGTCACATGGACATGCTGACCTCAGCATGAAGGTGTGGTTTGGACTGTAGGGCCCCAGGTGCACCGGGAGGGGCCAGGGAGAGTACATTCCAGTCCTTTGGTTTCCCTGCCCAGCTTGGAGCCGCAGTGCTGGAGCCACAGTGCTGGAGCCGTGTCTGCAGTGTCCCGGCCACCCTCCTCACACCCACGCCTTGTGGAGTCGCACCCAAACCCATGGTGTCAGGCCGCTCGTCTCTCAGAGGTTTAGGTTCCCTCTGTTGAGTCCTCATGGCTGCAAATGAAGCTGCGTCTTTTACACAAACACCACCATGCCCGTCTGCACCTCAGGGGTTGTCTGCTTCTGGAGTTCAAGCCTTCCTCCCAGAAGCTGGGGGATCCCTGACTCTGTGGAGCCTTCGTGGAGGTTGGACGTTTCCTATCCGTGGGAAAGTGCTGTAGGAGGCGTGGGTGACCATCAGCGGGGCCAGTTCCAGTCCCTCTAAACCTTCAGCTTCTCAGCAGGCTCATCTTTCAGCCTAGGTCTGCGTTCAGATGTCCTCCACTAGCTGGGGTGCTCTGTCAAGCTGGTGTCACCTTCAGACTCCGGCAACCTGTTCCCCCCACCTCAGTGTCCAGCAGCTCGCAGCAGTCAGCAGACATCTCGGGCCATTATTCTGCCTGCCACACGGGAAAGGCTGTCCCGAGCAGCGTCTGGGGCCCTGCTCAGTTTTCCCCTCCATCTCACTTCCCAAGAGCCTGCTGTGTCCAGTGGTGCTACCAGCTGTGCTCCAACCAACCCTTTGCCTTCTGGGTAGCTGCCAGTAACAATATCGCAGTCCAGTTCTCTGAACTTTGCAGTAGCTATCAGTTACTAAGACAGTGTCATTTCCGTGCAGACTCAGTCTCCTTTGTTTTACCTTCAATTCACATTCAATTCTAGCACTGTCCACCTCGCCCTGGGGCAGGTTAGCCGCTGGGCCCAGTGCCTTGTGTGTGGGGAGGACCCCCTCCTTGACCTAATCTCTGAGCCCTCTTTTCAAGGAGGTGTCATCTTTGGTCTGTCCTTGGCCTTCCCAGCCCAGTTTTAGCAAAGTATCCTATTAAACTGGTTTATCAAGAATCTTCCCCACTTATCACCTTTGATACCCAATCAAGTTGCTCTTCCTCCACCCTTGATACCTAACCAAGTTCCTCTAGTAATTTTCCATCCAGTGCCTCACCCTGCCTGGTGGCTAGAGATCCCCACTTGTCCCTCTTGTGTTTGGAGTTGAGGCCAATCTCTCTCCCCTGTCACAACAGTGTTCAATGGAGTCTTCCTTGCCTGCTGGACTCACCTGGTGCAGATTTTCTCTGACAGCCAGCTGACCCAGTCTCATGCCCAAGCCCCCACCCCTTCTCTGCACTATCACACTGGTGCTGGGGTGGGGAAGAGGGAGGCAGAAGAGGCCTCTCTTTTTGAGCCAGCCCCTGAAAGTGTTAGTGGGGTGCTCTGAGAAGCAGATGCCAAGGCAGGAAAAAGGAATTTATTGGAAGCAAGACCTGTGAGAGGACGTGGGGATGGAGCTGGAGAAGGCGGGTGAGCTCTCAGACTGTGATGTGGTCTGCCCTGGTGAAGGAAAGCTGGGAGAACCTCGGTGGGATGGAGGCCCCTTTGATAGCAATCCAGTGCTAAGAAAAATCCTGCAGGGTTCCCTTGCCAAAGTTGCCCACCAGAGAAGTCCTGCATATCACAGGAACGAGCCTAAAATTGTTCTCTCTGCCACACCCAGTCCCTGGGTGAGAGTGGCTCACAGGAAACCTGGCTTGGGTGCAAATCATGACCGATTTCTAAGGGCAGCAACTGGGGCTGTCGGACAACTATGCCCCCTGCAGCTGGAGACCTGATAGCTACCTTCTCATGGTCCCCTATGAACTGCCCCAATTTTGGCCATTTGGAATTTCCCCTTAATTTCAGAGAGGCCCTCACTAGTGCAGGGGGAGGTTGAAGCCCCCTTTCTCTTGGTTCTCTCTGCCTCTCTGTCTCATACCAACCCTCCATTGGTTTCTTTTGCTTGGCAGGCATTCAAATGCTGCTGTCTTGTTACAAGTCCCCTGCCATGAGAGATTGGGCTCAGTCTGGACCCATTTCTCCTCTTCCTTGGCTCCTGTTCTAAGAAGTCTATGTTGCAGTCTTTGGTTAAAGGTATAAATTTCAAGCCCACTACCTCCTTGGTACCCATCCGCTCAACTCTCAGGACATTCCCTATCCCCCCGCATCTAAGCCTCCAGTGTCCCGTGGGGAGCTACCTCTGCTACTCTGTGCCATGTCTTAGCATTTTTTCTCTTCACCCTGTGTCTACCTCCTCCTTTCTCCAGACCTGAGCAGCCACAGGTGGTCTTGACGGTGTTAAGACGATTGCCATACCATGACCCATTGGGGATGTGTTTGGAGGACCCATGCGACCTTGTAGGAGTAGAGAGATGTGTCAAATGCCCTCCCTCCTTCTTGGAACCAGTCCTCCTCATCTCTGGACGAGGTGGGGGTGTTGGTTTTATTGCTGGTTCTGATGCAATGGTGCCTCTGCAAGCCTAGTGGGGCACCCTGGCTGGCTCCTGGGACTCCACTGGTTCCCTGAATTTGAAATGTGAACTTGGTGGGTTACTGCTGCGATCTGTTCACATACCTGCCCTCACACATTTCATGGGGTTCCCATGGTGGACACTGCTTATGGGAGCAGAGGTTGTGCTCCAGAGAGGAGCCCTGAGATGTAGTTATGACACCTAAGGGCAGTGATCCCTGGAAGGGGACCTGCAGTCTTCATTTATTCAGGCAGAGATAATGCCTGCTGGAAACATCAGGGTCACCCAGTCTGCAGTTTCTGTCAGTCTTGCTCCTATTACACTCAGCTCTCATCCAAGTGAGAAAGTGAGCAGGTAGGGTTGAGAGATGTTGGTCCCCCACCTAAGGGGATTGTCATCATCATTATCACACATATGAGAGAAATGTCTGTCCCAGCAAGACACAAGATCTTGCAGGAAAATGAAAGGGAATTGCTAGAGAGAAGAGAATAGGGAAATATACACCGAACACAAAGCCTGTAAGGAGTACTTGAAGATGAGAATGGATTGTGGCTGTGTGAACCACAAGGGCATTCTGTAATAGAAACACCAGGAGACAAGGTGAGCATCGTGCATGCAACAGAAGGAGTCTAGTGAAAAGGAAAATTAGATACTGAGAGAATCGAAATGAAATTAAAATTAAAACTCAAAATACAGCTGGAACCTCTTTCTTCAAATCAAAACAAATGATCAGATGGAAGATATGATGTGAGACTGCAGAAACCTCCCTGCGGCCTGGGAACAAAGCAGAGCTGCTGGGAGGAGTGGAGGACAACCCCCAGCGCGAGTGTTTTCTGTTGCTAATGATGTTACAGGCAAAACAGCCTGGTAACTGCAGCAGGTAAAGAATGCAGTT